AAGCAGACCCTTTGTATTAGTCCCTTCTCACACTGCTATGAAGAAATACCCAAGACTGGGTAATTTATAAATAAAAGAGGTTTAGTTGACTCCCAGTTCCGCCTGGATGGGGAGGCCTCAGGAAATTTACAATCATGGCAAAGGGCACCTCTTCACAGGGTGGCAGCAAAGAGAATGAGTGCAAACTTATAAAACCATCAGATCTCATGAGAACTCACTCACTATCACAACAACAGCATGGCGGAAACCACCCCCAGGATTCAGTTACCTCCCACTGGGTCCCTCCTGTGACATGTGGGGATTATGGGAATTACAATTCAAGATGAGATTTGGGTGGGGACACAGCCAAACCACATCAGCCCTTAAAGCCCGAGGTAAGAACCTGGTGTTTCCCCATGTTGACCAGGATGGTCTCGATCTCTTGACCTCGTGATCCACCAGCCTCGGCCTCCCAAAGTGCTAGGATTACAGGCGTGAGCCACTGTGCCCGGCTTCTAGAACCTGGTGTTTCATTTGCACCATGTTAGGAAGATATTGAAGGGAACAGGAATTGACATGGGAAGATTTGTGCTCTGAAGGGATCACCATGGCTGCTGTGTGGAGAACGGAACATTCCAGAGAAGTCAAAAGGGAAGCTGCTGGCACGTCCAGGAGGGGGTGAGGGTGCGGCCAGGCAGCAGGAAGCATGTCTGTGGTCTGGGTGCCTTGCGAAGGTAAAGCTGATGGGATTCGTGACAAATTGGGTCGGGCAGCACGGCTTCAAGGTTTGGGCTGAGCGATTGGCAGGGTGGCAGTGCATGGGCTGAGGTGGCCAGGCTCCCAGATGGCAGAGGGAAGCGAGGTTTGGAGAATTCGAGGTGTCCCTGAGAAGTCTAGGTGGAAACAGGGCTGGGAATCAGAGAAGCCGGACTCTCAGTGGAGATTCAGGTGGTAACAGATGAAATGACAGCACTGTCAGTATATGGATTTTGTTTGATTGAATGATACTCAAAAGTGGCAAAACTTAAAGGATTCTTTATAAAATTTTGTTAAAGTGGGAACAGAAGAAAACTAAGAAGCTAACAGCCTTTGAGTAAGAGGGTGCCAGTGAATACACCAACGCTGTGAAGTTTGCTTTAAAAAGCTGGGAAAAGAAAACAAATTAAAGTTTATCTTTAGCGAGTGAGCTGAAATAATTCAAAGCCAGAAGTTGATAGTTGATTGTATAGATCTTGGGTGAATTGCACCAGCCTGGTAATCTTTTTTTTTTTTTTTTTTTTTTTTTTTTTGAGATGGAGTTTCGCTCTTGTTACCCAGGCTGGAGTGCAATGGCGCGATCTCGGCTCACCGCAACCTCCGCCTCCTGGGTTCAGGCAATTCTCCTGCCTCAGCCTCCTGAGTAGCTGGGATTATAGGCACGCGCCACCATGCCCAGCTAACTTTTTGTATTTTTGGTAGAGACGGGGTTTCACCATGTTGACCAGGATGGTCTTGATCTCTTGACCTCGTGATCTACCCGCCTCGGCCTCCCAAAGTGCTGGGATTACAGGCTTGAGCCTCCGCGCCCGGCCCAGCCTGGTAATCTTTACGTGGCTTTCTCTTAAGAAAAGGTGCCCTTTTTTTGTGAAAATATATTCCCACTTGGAAATTTATGTACTTTAAAAATACTTCTGCTGGATAATTTAAAAACCATAAATATCTGCTTAAAAATGGAAAGGCAGACAGGGGACATGCACATTTGATCAATAAATGTTAATTAAGCACGTCCCATGTGCCGGTCATGGGTGACTGAGCGACAAGCTCTTCCCTCATGGACCATCTTAGTCCACTGGAGCTGCTCTAACAAACACCTCAGAGTGGGTAATTTACAATAAACAAAAACTTATTGCTCACAGTTCTGGAGGCTGGGAAGTCCAAGATCAGGCGCCAGTAAATTCAGGGTCTGGTGACAGCCCATGATGCATAGACGGGTCCTTGGTTGGTGGAAGGAGGAATGTGTGCTCCCTGGGGCCTCTTTTGGAAGGGCAGTCTTCCATCCACGAGGGCAGAGTGCCCCCCAGAGGGCCCACCTCCTCGTGCTATTGCACAGTGGGTTAGGTTTCAACATGAGTTTTGCGGGGTGATATGGTTTGGCTCTGTGCCCCCCCTGCAAATCTCACCTTGAATTGTCATAATTTCCACAGGGCAGACCCAGGTGGAGGTAACTGAATCATGGGGTGGTTTCCTCCATGCTGGTCTCATGCTAGTGCATTCTCACGAGAGCTGATGGTTCTCTGAGGGGTTTCCCCCTTCAAGGGCACTCATTTTCTCTCCTGCTACCTAGTGAAGAGGTGCCTTCCGCCGTGATCCTAAGTTTCCTGGGGCCTCCCCAGACATGTGGAACTGTGAGTTAATTAAGCCTCTTTCCTTTATAAATTACCCAGTCTCAGGTATTTCTTCATAGTGCTGTGAGAACAGACTAAAACAGGAAGAAACCAACATTGAGGCCACAGCTATGACTGACCATGCTGTACGTGGACTGACTGTGCTGTACGTGGATTGATCATGCTATGTGTGGACTGATCGTGCTGTACGTGGACCGACCGTGCTGCGTGTGGACCGACCGTGCTGCGTGTGGACCGACCGTGCTGCGTGTGGACCGACTGTGCTGCGTGTGGACCGGCCGTGCTGCGTGTGGACTGACCGTGCTGCGTGTGGACTGACCGTGCTGCGTGTGGACTGATCAGTGCTGCATGTGGACTGACCGTGCTGCGTGTGGGCCGTGTGGACTGACCGTGCTGCGCGTGGACCGACCGTGCTGCACGTGGGCCGACCGTGCTGCGCGTGGACCGACCGTGCTGCGCGTGGGCCGACCGTGCTGTGCGTGGACCGACCGTGCTGCGCGTGGGCCGACCGTGCTGCGCGTGGACTGACCGTGCTGCGCGTGGGCCGACCGTGCTGCGCGTGGACCGACCGTGCTGCGTGTGGGCCGTGTGGACTGACTGTGCTGCGTGTGGACTGATCGTGCTGTACGTGGACTGACTGTGCTGCGTGTGGACCGACCGTGCTGCGTGTGGACCGACTGTGCTGCGTGTGGACCGACCGTGCTGCATGTGGACCGACTGTGCTGCGTGTGGACCGACCGTGCTGCGTGTGGACTGACCGTGCTGTACGTGGTGATTTAATTTTCTCATCTGTCTTCTCTAAGATACCACCACCAATTCTACAACAATAAATTGTTCAAACATCAAGATTGGCCTCGCTCTACTCCATCAGCTCGCGTATGAATAATCATCCCTCTCACCCTCTTCTGTTCTGAAAAACAAACCAAACCACCTCAGGGGACTTTCTCCATTGACTGGTTTACTTTCCTTCTGTATACCTGAGGGGGATCTTCCTTCCTTTGGGGTCTTTGTCATGTCCTTCAGATGCTGGGGTGTCCTCTGTGGGGGTCCCCAGCTAAATCACTGACCCCACAACTTGGTGTGGAACCTGAAATGAGCAGGCTATGGAGAACCTGCTCCCTGAATGCTTAGATCTTGCCACGGTCCCTGTTTAATCAGCACGTTCAGTGAACCCCAGGACCTAGGTTTCAGGGTTCAGCATCCCTGAATTGGGCTGCTCCTCACAGCAGTTGTGCTCCAATGTCAGCTTGGACAAGGTCAAGTTCCTCCTGAAGGGTTTGTACTTTATGGTGCCCCCTGGGGGCGCTGCCACTTTGGCATCTCTTTAAAAAATGACAGTGACGGTGGGTTTCACTTGTAAATTTTCCCCCAGAGGTCTCTCTGGACCCCACTCAACTTTTGATTTCCAGAAATGGGAGTTCAAGGCTGGGGTTTGCCTCTGGGGCCCTGAAGACCATGTTGCTGCCTAGGAAATCCTGCCTGACACCGTGTGGCTCCTGGGCAGAAGGCTTTTCTCCAGGGCGGGCCAGGGTGGACCCACAGCCGGCTCCACAGGGAAGGCCGCCAGGAACGCCTCCCGCCCGCCCTCCTCAGCCCGTTTCTAGGAAGTCAAACGCCCGTCCACTTCGATCTTCCCGAACCTTGCAACATCTGTTTACCAACGGTTTTGCCCAGCTTACGACTTTTTTTGGGAGTTTCTGCACTAGCACTGTTGAACTTTGCCCGGGGACATTACACAGGACGCAAACGGTAAGGGACGTTTGGGAGGCACGCGCAGGCCTCGTCTGGAGGCTTTTCTGTTTACTGAAAGTTCATTTGGTTTTCAAGGCATTTAACTTGAGGCCTGGGGACAGTCCAGATTGCAGCAGGCGAGGACTCAACATCGCACCCGAGGAGAGGAGGAGGAGCCCTCGGAAGCCTCTCTGGCCATGCCACCACCACCACCACTCAGTTCCTGAGGCGCTCCGGAAGCTTCCAGAAGCTCCTGGCCAGTTTCACCCCAGAGACTGATTTTGGTGGTGGGCTGTGGCCTGGATGCAGGCATACTAGAGCCCCCAGGGGGTCCTTCAGGTGGCGAGGGTGGGGCCCACTGCGCGGGGTCCTGGTCGCCACCTGGTGAGCAGCTCACCCTCCTGGGGGATGCCCAGTGCGCCCCCACCATGCAAGCCCGACGTGGGGTGGGGCCTGGCGTGGTGCAGTTGAAGGGCACCTGGTTGTTCAGGTCAATGTGAAGGGTCCATGCCAATGAGAAGCTTTCTGGACATTTCCCTACCAGGGAGTCTGCGGTCACCAGGGACGTGTGTAATTCCAGGGGGAACAAGAAAGATCAGGCCAGGTGAGAGGTCATGGGGCGGCCGGGCCAGTGTGTGGGGCCCTCCGGACCCCACAGGGCCCGCACAGGCTCCCGCCTGCCTCTGAGCGTGACCCAGACACAGGATGGCATGCGGGGACAAGAACAGCCAGGGCCACCACAGCACAGCATCCTCCCTGTCCCCACAGACGAGAACGTTCCCTGGAGAAATCTCCAGGCTGGCTGGGAAGGGCGGGAGCTGGTGTTGCAGACAGACACTTCGTCTTCCCACCTCGACAGGGTGGGAGAAGCCAGGGCGAGGCGGCAATGGAGAGACAGACCAGGCCTTGAGTGGGATCTCACTTTAATGGAGAGGACGTGTTGACGCCCAGGACGTGGCTCTCGGCCTTGGCCACGCCCCTGGTTTTCATGGACCTGTCGATCCACTTGAGGAAGCCGGAGACCTTCGTGTAGATCCCATACTTCCCCTTCCGGGCACAGCCCTCTCCCCAGCTGACGATGCCTGTCACGAAGTAGGTGTCCTTGAAGCGGGTGACGTGGGGGCCCCCGCTGTCCCCCTGGCAGGCGTCCTCCTGCCTGGCTTCGTAGCCGGCACAGAACATGTTCTGGGTGATGGTGAAGCTGCTGGAGAGCTTGCAGGTGTTGCGGTCCACGTAGGGAACCTCCAGGATTTTGAGTGTGGTGGACTGCCGGCCCTTCTCGTGGGTGCGCCCGAAGCCACTCACGATCCCCGTCTTCTGTGTCATCAGCGTGGACTCGGCCCAGTCCCGCGCCGGGAGGCAGGCGGGTGCCACGTTCATTCGGAAGGTGATGGGCGTCTTCAGCCGGAGCACGGTGATGTCGAAGTCGTAGGTCTCTATCGAGAACCGGTTGTGCTTGATGATCACCTCCACCTCGTGCACGGTCTCGCCGCCCTCCTCCAGCTCTGTGTTCCGGTCCCCTGGGAAGACGGGCAGGACACGCTCAGCTCAGCCCGGATGTGCCTCTGCACATCCGCTGCTTTTCAAGGAAGCTACGTTTTTTTCTGATTAAAAATGGCACGTGGTCACTTTGGAAAATTTAAACAAGATAGGAAAGTGCAAAAACAGCAAATAAAAACCACCTTCCGCCTCACTACCAGGGACCCACTGGTCACGTCTCACAGTTTGCTTGTTCGGACTGCCGCCCCTCTGTGTCCATTGACTGGTGCATCCTCAGTGCCAGTCATGGGCACCAACCAGGTGTCCCAGGGCCAAAGGCTTGGAATCCCAGACCCAGGCTGTGCGGTGTGGCTGCCGGCCGAGAGTGAGTGTAAAATAGAGTCTTAGAATGAAAGAAAATGTGCAGAATGTCTTATTACACCTTTCACATGCATACACACGGAAAAAATAAGATTTTCAACATGCTGAGTTACATAAGATATATTATGAAAATCTGACATATATATATCAGATGATAAAATCTGATACACAAACACACACATATATATTTGTTTTGTTTTGTTTTTTGAGACAGTTTTGCTTTGTTGCCCAGGCTGGAGTGCAGTGGCATGATCTTGGCTCACCGAAACCTCCACCTCCTGGGTTCACGTGGTTCTCCTGCCTCAGCCTCTTGAGTAGCTGAGATTACGGGTGCCCGCCACCACGCCTGGTTAATTTTTGTATTTTTTAGTAGAGATAGGGTTTCGCCATGTTGGCCAGCCTGGTCTCGAACTCCTGACCTTGCCTCAACCTCCCAAAGTGCTGAGATTACAGGCATGAGCCACTGTGCCCGGCCTGTTTTTGTATTTTATGATGTGTAATAGAACACTTAATGTTACAAAAGTATCAATTTACATATATTGCTTGCATCTGTGGCTTGTGTTAGGTTTGCACTGAACAGCTCTAGGGTCTAGAGGACGAAGACAGATGTGAGTGAAACAATTCCACACGCACAGAAACAGAAGAGACAGAGGTACTTGGTGGCCAGAGTATGTTGAACAGAGAGGGAGGTCTGGAAGGCTCCCAGGAAAACACACTGAAACACAGAACATTAGTTGGGCACAGAGGCCCAGAGACCTGGGACCCAGAGACTCGAAGACCCGAGACCTGGACACCCAGGGGGAAAGAGCTGGGCTGGGTCCCCTCCCCCTCCCCATTCTCCTCCCTCTTCCCCTTCCTCTGCTTCCTCTGTGAAACGCCCCTAACCCCACAAATAGGATTTCAGGATTTTAACTAGTGCTCCCAGGAAATTCTATCAGCTCTAGTGGTCTCTGTGAAGCAGACAGTGACTGTGCCCCCCTCCACGGCCCTGGGTGCTGTTGGGTGTCACTTACCTACCCTCACCTTGAATCTCTTGGCTTGGTGGAGACAGTGGGCCGCAGTGAGGACGTAGAACTCGCTCAGAATGGTGCCACCACAGAACCCCTCGTTTTCCTCGTTGATGAGCAGAGCCTGTGACAGACGTGACAGGCTCAGTGTGGCTGGCCAGGGCGGACAGGTGGTGCCCAACGGAGAGGCCAGCTCTTCAGGTGGCACTGCCCGGCCCTCCCCGTGCCAGCCCGGCCTCTCTGGTCTCTTGCTGTCCACCCGAGGACAGCTCCTTGTCCGTCTCTTTTCTCCACCTGTGCTGCACACTCACGGATGCAGAGAATCATCTTTTCTTTCCTCCAGACCCATCACAGCATTCTCTAAAGTCTCACGCACAGAGCGCATCTGTCCGTGCTTTGGAGAAGACGCTCGCTGGGGGAGCAGCCTGTTCCACCTTCGTGGCAGCATTTCCACCTGGGACCAGGAGTCTGTGCAGAAACGTCTGCCCGGGCCGGTGTGTCTGCCTGGGGCCCCCACGGTTCAGCAGAGTGAGCCTGTCCCCCACGGGGCACAGGACGCCTCCACCCCAGGTGGCTTCCTGGGGATCCCTGTGGCAGCTCCTGTGAGGGGTCCCCCGGGACCGAGCACTGACCGGGGTGCCCCACGCTATCCTCAGGGAGCTGGACTTACATGTCTGGAGCCTGGGATATTCTGGCTTTCTTTTCTCCGGGGAGTTTCCTGTCTTTCGATAGGGGCTGGGTGCATGTGACGGCCAGTGAGACTAGTGACAACACCCAGTCTTAAAAGATTTCTTAAAATGTTCATGGCTAGAAAAGGGGTCATGTTTTTGCCTCTTTTTTGCATAATTTATCAACTCATTATCCAGCTGACGTGAGGGGAAGTCAGGCTTTCTAAGAAATGAACACCAACCGTTCTTCCTAAAGGTGCAGGTGAGGCCACTTGCCAAGACTCGAACCAGGAGACGAGAATCTCAAACCTCAACAGACCCAGCCAGGGGCCCTCTGAGGAGCCCTCCAGGGTGCTCCGTCCTGCCAGGCTGCCCGGGACCCCCTCCAAAACCCCGCCTGGGGCTCCAAGTCCAGCTCCCAGCCCCACAGGAGGCTTTTCCTGCTCATCCCAATGGAGCCTCAGTGGGGTCTCCTGTATCCCAGTTCTTGCCTGAGACACACAGTGCCTGGGATTGGGAGGATTTGGGTCTCAGCTCCCTAACTAGGTTTAGACTTCTGTGTGTTAGAAGAGGGGTTTGCAGTTTCATATCCCACCTACACAGCACCCAGCTCAGTGCCTGGCACGTAGAAAGCCCTCAACAAACATGTCACACGGATGAGGGGTCAGAGCTGCTTCACCGCTTCCCTCTGGCTCAGCTCTTTATAATTAGACAGAGGCTCCCCACCACATGGCCTGGGGTGGAGGAAGCCTTGGAGGGATTCCTGAGGGTACTGGCGGCTCTGAAGTTCTTGCTTTGGGAGCGGACATTCTGGCTTTGGGCACTGAAAATTCAAGTCCAAGTGAGGACTGCAGAGAAGATACAGGATGCCCATGGCATGGTTTGGCGGCATCCCCACCCAAGTCTCATCTTGAACTGTGGCTCCCATATTTCCCGTGTGTTGTAGGAGGGACCCGGTGGGAGGTAAGTGAATCACAGGGCAGTTTCTTCATACTGTTCTCGGGGTAGGGAATAAATCTCACGAGATCTGATGGTTTTATAAGGGAAAACCCTTCTTACTTGATTCTCATTCTCTCTTGCTGCCACCATGTAGGACGTGCCTTTCCCCTTCTGCCAGAATTGGGAGGCCTCCTCAGCCAGGTGGAACTGTGAGCCCATTAAACCCCCTTTTCTTTATAAATTAGTCTCAGATACGTCTTTATCAGCAGTGTGAAAACTGATTAATACCTTCAGTTAGATTTGAATCAGATAAACAGAAAATACTTTTTAGCATATGTATGCTTCATGCAATACTTGAAACATACTTACCCCAAACATATTTCTTGTTTATGTGAAATTGAAATTTAATTGAAAGTCCTGTGTTTTTATTTGTTTAATCTGGCAGCATTAGCCCAAATCAACAATTCAAGATTAGGCCCTGGTATGGAGGCTCAAACCTGTAATTCCAGCACTTTGGGAGGCTGAGGAGGGTGGATCACATGAGGCCAGGAATTTGAGACCAGCCTGGCCAACATGGTGAAACCCCTGTCTCTATTAAAAATAAAAAAAATAGCTGGGCGTGGGGGTGGGCGCCTGTAATCCCAGCTACTTGGGAGGCTGAGGCACGAGAATCACTTGAACCCAGGAGGTGGAAGTTGCAGTGAGCTGAGACTGCACCACTGCACTCCAGCCTGGGTGACAGAGCAACGTACTGTGTCTTAATAAAGAAAACATTAAAGAGTGATTTTCTTTCTACCTTTGAAAATAAGTAGATGTGTTTTTCTCCAAGGTACCCTCTGTTTCCATAGGACTTAGGTGTTTGGGTAAAAAATATTTCTGAAATTAAAAATGAAGTGAGGACATGGAATCTTCCTGCCTCCATCGAACAGTAGAGCGAACGGAGGCCTCACCTACCCCCTCGCCCTCCTCCTGCCCGCTTGGGCCCTGCAGCTTGGGTGGCTCCCGGGCTTCAGCCCTGTCTCCTTCTGGTGCAGGGAGGTTTGAGGGCACTTGAGGGCATGGCTGCGCCTTCTCCTTCTTTTCTCTTTCACAGGACAGCGTCCTGGACACGCCACACGCAGCCACAGAAGCTCTTGGTGGGATGCGGGTGAGGGGGCGTGGACTGGGCCCAGCCTCTCCCTCAGCCCTGGCTGCTCCCTGCGGAGCTCACAGCCTTCTCAGCTGCCGGGAGGGAGGGACAGGCAGGGGGGCTTGGGTGGCAGAGCCCCTCTGTCCCAGTGCGGACTGGTGCCTTCCCGGATTGCTACTCCCCGAGGTACGCAGCGGGTCGGGTGGTCCGGCCAGCAGGCCCGAGGGGCTGTCCCCACTGTTACCTGCCAGGGACACTCCCCATCCTTGCATTCCCGGCCACCCACGATCCTGACGACGTCGTTGTCCTCCCCCTCGGGCTGCGTCTGGTTGAAGCCCAGCAGGTCGAAGGGGTTCTCGGTGGGGTCCAGGTCGCTCGTGTTGTGCGGTGGCGAGGTGATGCTGTCGGGGGTTTCCCCGCTGCTGTTGGTGGCCTGGGCCACTGACCTCTTCCTGCGTTCCAAGGTAAGTTTTCCACAGGGGTAGGGCACTGAAAGAAAGGACAATCCGGGCCTTCAGCACAGCGAGAGGCTCCCCACACCTGCAAGGCTCACCTGTGGGGGAAGAGTCACACAGTCGGAGCAGCAGAGCGGCACCGGGAGGGGCGGGGGCTCTGCGGGGAGCCCCAGGTCGGTAGGGGTGGGTCTGCAGGGGAGTGCCGCTGTCCGGCACTGGCTCCCCCTCAAGTGACAGCGGTGAACACTGGACCCCAGGCAGCAGCCCAGGCAGCAAGGGGAGTGGGGGCGTCTGCGATTTGCCTGGAAATGCACAAGCCAAGAAAGCCTGGTGTGCGGATGGACAGAGGGCGGACGGGCCGGGCTACCCGGGATGAATGCATTAGCATGTGTATGCTTCATGCAATACTGGAAACATACTTACCCTAAAAGTATTTCTTGTGTATGTGAAATTGAAATTTAATTGAGTCTTGTGTTTTTATTTGTTTAATCTGGCAGCATTAGTCCAAATCAACAACCCAAGATTAGGCCCTAAGGTGCTACCTATTTCCATAGGACTTAGGTGTTTGGGTAAAAATATTTCCCATATTTTTGGACAAGGGTGCCGATGGGAGAACCCAGGCGCTGGGCGTGCGTGGCTCCCTGTGAACTTCTATCCGGTGTGCTGTGTGTTTGAAAATTTTCCTAACGAAACACTGCAGAAAAAAGTTTTCAGGCAGAAGGAACACTGCACGAAAACAACCAGAGGCACAGAAGGGAGCACACAGCTCCCGGGAGGCCAGGCCGAGAGACGGCCGGAGCTTCCTATTGTACAACAGCTGACCGGGGGCAGGGCCAAGCGAACCGGTGAGACAAGTGGAGAGAGGCAGGGGTGTGGGGAGCAGGGGAGGAAGGCAGGGGTGTGGGGAGCAGGGGAAGAAGGCAGGGGTGTGGGGAGCAGGGGAGGAAGGTAGGGGTGTGGGGAGCAGGGGAGGAAGGCAGGGGTGTGGGGAGCAGGGGAGGAGAGGAGATGGAGGAAATGGATGGCAGGGGCACCGCTCAGCTGTTTATTTGCTGTGCTCCTGCAGGGTCTGAGGGGGCTCTGGCGAATTCGCCAGCTGCAGGTGCCGTCACCCCCAATCCCCTGCAGGCCTCAGCTCTGCCCATGTGTGCAATCACTATCCTTACAAGTTCTGAGTTCATCCATTAGGTGGAACTGAACTTTTGGGTTTTTTTTTGAGATGGAGTCTCGCTCTGTCTAGAGTGCAATGGTGCCGTCTTGGCTCACTGCAATCTCTGCCTCCAGGGTTCAAGTGATTCTTGTGCCTCATTCTCCGAGTAGCTGGGATTACAGATGTCTGCCACCATACCACCCAGCTAATTTTTGTATTTTTAGTAGAGACAGGGTTTCACCATGTTGGCCAGGATGGTCTTGAACTCCTGACTTCAGGTGATCCACCCACCTCAGCCTCCCAAAGTGCTGGGATTAGAGGCATCAGCCACTGCGCTTGGCCTAAACTTTTTGCACTAGGAAATAGTTTCCCTCATTTTATTTTCAAACATCACGCTTGGTTTTAAGTGAATCTGTGATTATTTCTAGAATTAAAAAATATTTGTGCGTATGTCAAGAAATGACTTCGGGGTGCTCAGGAGTGACCTGTGTCTGGAAGGGATAGTCATGGCAGCCGCAGGCAGGACACAGTCTGGGGGCCGAGCTGCGCCTGAGGTGGGAAGGTGAGCTGGGTTACAAAGGCAGGTCTGGGCCTTTGCATTTCAATGCACCCCTGGGTGAGGCTAAAGCTGTGAGCGGGGCTGGCTGGGAGTGGGAATGGGGTCGCTGTGCAACGAGCAGCTGTGATGTCTAGGACTTGCCTTCGAGGGCGCGGTCTGTGCTGGCTGTGCAGAAGCGCCCATAGCCAGGCAGGCCCAGCACAGACGATGCCCACAGGGTCAGGACAAGGAGGCTTGTCCCCACCCTGCCCGGGCCCCGGTCTGTCCTATACTCACTGCCCTCTGGGCACCTGTTGTCCACTTTCATCAAGGAAAAGAAAAAATAAGTTCAATGAACACTGGTTCTGGAAGCGCGAGCTCAGAGGCTGAGTGTCCTCTGACCCCTACCCCAGGCCCGCTCCTTAGCGCCAGTTCTTGGGCCACCTCTGCCCCTCGCCTGCCCTGGTGCTCTGGGGCTGCGGTCCCCCCAGCTCCCTGGCATGGGTGGATCCCCCCCGGTCCTAAGGGAGACCGAGGGCCTGTGGTGGGCCAGGCATCCTGCAAGGTGCTCCAGGGGTCACCCAGGCACTCAGGCCAGAGTGTTGGTCCCATTTACCAGATGAGGAAGCTGAGGTTAAACAGCACATCTGGTGCACAGAAATCATGGGTCTGTTTCCAAACCTTGTGGTCTTCATGTTTGGGCCTGGGCCCAGAGCCCAGGACTCACTCCTACCCTCCTGGGGCTGCTGTCACCCGCCAGGCCCACCCAGAACATGCCTATGTCCCTGCCCACCGGCGTGGGTGTGTGCTCCCTGCCTGGCCCATCAGCAGCTGTGGCCCAGCGTGCCTCCTACCTGTGGGAATGCAGGCCTTGTCATCATCAGCCAGGATGTACCCACTGGCACAGGAGCACACCACTGAGTTCTGCTCCTCGTGGCAGAACTGGTCACAGTCCCCATTGTCCAGGCTGCAAAGCTTCCGTGTGACTGCAAGAGACAGGCATGTTGGCTCTGGGGTCATCTGGCTGGGGACATGGAGGTTGGGCTGGCCCAAGGTTGCCAGCTACCTCCACTTGTCTTTCTGCCATAAAGTGGCCACTGGGCTAGAGCAAAGGGCCAGCCAGAGCCAGGCGACAGGCACACTTGCCTCAAAGGGCAACCTTGAGGGTCATGGGGAGCTCATGGTGCAGTGCCTGGTGGAGCCTGGCTTCCTCGGCAGACGCCAGGCTCCAGGGACCTGACCCTCACGCATACTGGCTGGCCGGCACCCCCTGCCCCAGCAGCACTCACAGTATGCTGACTCCATATCCCTCTGCGTGTGTTTTAATGAAAAAGTTAATCCCAGTGCAAAGGTCAACATGCATGGAATTTTAGAAAACATTCACAGCCCTGGGAGCCTGGGCAGGATTATGCCTCATAAGTGACCAAATGGTGTCCCAGGGAGGCGTCTCTGGACTTGTAATGGAATGAGGTGTAATTGATATTCCCATCAGGGAAAATTCAAAAGTAAGGCAATCTAAGAACATGGCCTAAAGATGATAAATTAAGTACTTTAAAAGAAATGCTAATCTTTTTCCTTAGGGATAATTGACCTAATAGTAACCTAACTCTTTAGTTAAAAATTAATCACCACATTAGAGAAAGCTCTTAGTGATGTTTCCTTGTAGAGATAATTAAATGTATCAAATTTTTATAACTGGACAATCTCCACTATTCGTCCTTGACACCTGCATCCACACACATCAATAAGAGGTGATTTAGAATCACTGCACAGGGTCACAGGGCAATGCACTTGGCCCCAAGGAAAACAGAGTCCACTCTTGTTTACACGTGAATGGATCCCACACTTCAACGTTCTAGTCTATCTCGGAGGAGTCGAGAAGTGACTGTGTCCCAAACCGAGTCATTTGAGGGACATATTAGGGCTTTTTTATTCTATAGTGGCACAGCATAATAGAGCCCAGACTTTATAAATCAGTAATGACTTCAGATTGTTTCATTTGCACTTCTTCCCCCGTCCCACCTGCTACTCTTCAGGGGAGTCTGATCTGAAGGTATATCAAGCAGAGGAACCTACATAATTCACAGTTTTTGCCTTCGAATCCTTCTAGACAGGTGCAGGTGTATTGCCCGAGGCCGTCTCTACATTTGCCCTGGTTCTGGCAAGGATCACCTTCACACTGGTCGCCGTCTGCAAAGAGAGGATTTTGAAACTGGAGTCTGCAAGCCGTTTCTGGGCATCATGGAAACAGGTTTGCTGTGCTGACCTTGGCACTGCTGTTCAGGGAACTGGAAATGGCTTCCTGTTCCTCTGTAAACAACTCCTCCTCTTTGGACTTTATTTTTCCACCCCCTCTTGTGGCCGTGTGTACGTGATGCCTTTATCTAGGTGGATCACTGGCCTGACTTTCTAATTTCTGCTGAGGTGTTTTGCTGTGAGTTTTCCGTCAGAGGCAACCACAGGGACCAGCTGGAAGGATACAGAGAAGGCGAGAGCATGGCGCTCATTTCTGGGCTGAGCCTCGACGGGAGAGGATGTTAGGGTTCCTCTTTCCAAATGAGCCGGGGGCGAAATGAGAATGCGAAGGCTAACACAGGACTTCACATTTCTTGGAGGATTTACACAATCTGATTTAGAGATAGGTCCAGATGTCATTTCAAGAAATGTGAATGACTGATACCATTTCCGACACCACTAAGCATGAAACCAAGGTGGTTACCTTAGTAGGGAATCTGATCTTTCAGACTGTTTTTGGCTTTTACCTAATACACTTGTATTTAAGAAAAGTTATGGAATTTGGTATCCTCAAATGGGAATGGACTGATTTAAGTATCTATCTCTAAGTCAATAACAAAACAAGAATTAGTATAAAATTACTCTAAAAACTCTTTTACAATAACTATTATGGAAACACCCTGAGGGAAAAAGTCTTAAATGAGTAAGATTAAAACAAAAGCAGAAAGGAAATTCAGGACATATTTTCAAAATTCAAATATCCTAATGAACCCCTCACTTGAGGTTAAAACAATAAAAAACGTACCTTTGTATTTATTCCAGAATTCATTCTAAAAGGAAAACAAAGATTAAAAAATACATTAGGAAAAACAGAGACATTTTCCACCAATAACAACCAAAACTGAGTGACTTAACCTGAATAGGGTATTTCCCCAACAGAAGTCACTTTTAGGAATGAATTGTTCTAGAACTATTCTATCTAAAGAGAAAAGTTATCCAGATCTTCTGCATCTGTGAAGATGTGGCTTCAGTCATCTTAAATGCACCATCTTTGTTGAATATTGAAAATATTTTCAAGTTAATTACCTAGAAATGGATTGCACCAAAAATAGCTTGCTCAGTTTGCTGGTCAGTGGATGGTTTTTAGTTGATGTGCTAAACATTCAGACAAGAGTCACATGCTTGTCAATAGTCATTATGTTAGCTGAAAAATGTTTATTGCTGATTAGCTTAAACTAGGTATCAAGAGCTGTATTATACTAAAAAATGTCCGTGGTCTTATTTTTTTTAATTCTCTAAAAAAAAAAAATAGGTTGGTTGAATAGTGTCCTCCCTAATTCAGGCCGACCTGCATTAGCCTCAGAATATAACCTTAGTCTGAAATAGGGTCTTTGCAGCTGTTATGAGGCAAGGCTGTAGATAAGATCATGCGGGGTCAGTGCAGGCCCTAAATCAAAGACCACATCCTTATATGGGACAGAGAACGTCACACAGCGACACAGAGAGAGAAGGCCATGTGAAGATGAAAGCAGACATTGGACCAATTCAACCCAAGGGCGCCCACGTGTGCTGGGTGCCCCGGAGGCAAGCAGAGACCCTGGGACAGAGACTCTCTCACACCCTTCAGAAGGAATCAACACTGCCAACACCTTAATTTTGGACTTGCCTCCAAAGCTGTGACAATAAATCCTGGCTATTTTAAGGCATTTGTGGTGCTTTGTTACAGTTGCCCTAGGAAGCAAACATGTCGTTGTTTTACTTTTTTATTTTAAAAATTATCACAGTAAAATCATGGTTTTGGTGTACACATCTATGATTTTCAACACATGTAGAGCCTTGTGTAACTACCACGAGCAGGATACAGGAGAGCTCCTTCCTTCCCCCGGAACTCCCCATGCTGTCACCCTCCCACCTGCCAACCCCTGGCAAACCTTGCTTCACCACTAATCTGCTCTTCATCACAATAATAATGACCTATTGAGAATGTCACGTAAATGAACGTGTACATTATAGGACCTTGTGAAACTAGCTTTTCATTCAACACAAAGTCTTTGAAATTCATCCAAGTTATTCTTGTACACAAATGTACAAAATGTTGTAAATAAACTGTTGTATCAATAGTTTCTTCCTTGTTATTGCTGACAACTATTATGCTGTATGACTACAACCAGCAAAAGACATTTATCTTAATTCTACCTTTTGGCAAGTAAGAACAGAGTTGCTGGCTGGGCGTGGTGGCTCACACTTGTAATCCCAGCACTTTGGGAGGCTGAGGCGGGTGGATCATTTGAGGTCAGGAGTTCGAGACCAGCCTGGCCAATATGGTGAAACCCCATCTTTACTAAAAGTACAAGAATTAGCCTGGCGTGGTGGCGCACACTTGTAATCCCAGCTGCTTGGGAGGCTGAGGCAGGAGAATCGTTTGAACCAGCCGGAGGAGTGAATCAAGATTGTGTCATTGCACTCCAGCCTGGGCAACAGGAATACCGTGTCTCAAAAAAAAAAAAAAAAAAAAAAAAGACTAGAGTTGCTATCCACATTTATGTACAGAATTTTATGTGGAAATACATTTTCATTTCTGTAGGATAAATGCCCAGGAATGGGATCGTTGAGTCATATGGTGACCTTCTATGACTTTATAAGAAACTGTCAAACTCCTTTTCAAAGTGGCAGTGCCATTGTGCGTTCCCGCAAGCAGTGTATCAAAGTTCCGCTTGCTCTACATCTTAACCAACGCTGTTATGTGTCAGTGTTTTTTATCTTATAGGCATGTAGTCATTCTCACTGCAGTTGTAATTTGCATTTCTGTAAGAGCTAATAACGTTGAATATCTTCTCACATGTTTATTTTCCATCCATATATCCTCTTTGGTGTGGTGGTTGTTCAGGTCTTTTGTTCAGTGTTTAATTGGGTGTTTATTTTCTTCTTTCGAGCTGTAAGGTTCCTTTATATATTCTGAATATGATTCCATTGTTGGACATGTGATTTGCAAATATTTTCTGTCTGTAGCTTGTATTTTTATTCTCTTAACAGTGTGTATTTTTGCAGAGCAAAAGTTTTTAATTTTGATAAAGTCCAGTTTATGACATTTTTCTTTTATGAATCATTCTTTTGGTGTGATGTCTAAGAATTTTTGCCTAGCTCCATGTCATAAATTCGGTTGTATTTTCTCCTAAAAGTTTGCTAGTTTTATATTTTATCTTTGGATCTACGATCCATTTTGTGTTCACTTTCGCATAGTTAGGAAGTTTAGGTCAGGTGCTTTTTTTGCATGTAAATATATAATTGTTCCAACACTGCTATGGTCTCAACATGCTCCCCATACATACGTTAAAATTTCATTGACAATGTACTAGTATTAAAGATGAGATCTTTAAGAGGTGATTAGGTCATGAAGGTTCTGCCCTTGTAAATGGAATTATTGTCCTTATAAAAGAGGCTTCACACAGTGTTCATCCCTTCTGCTTTCCATCAGGTGAGGATGCAGCCACAAGTCACCATCTTGGAAGCACAGACCAGGCCCTCATCAGGCCCCATACCTGCTGGTGTCTTGATTTTGGGGGACTTCCCAGCCTCCATACCTGTGAGCAATAACTTTATTCTGTTTATAAGGTACCCAGTCTGAGCTATTTTTTTTTATAGATGCACAAACAGACTGAGACTAGTATCATTTGTTGAAAAAGACAATTCTTTTTCTTCTTCTTTCTTTTTGAGATGGAGTTTCACTCTTGTTGCCCAGGCTGGAGTGCAATGGCGCGATCTCAGCTAACTGCAATCTCTGCCTCCCAGGTTCAAACGATTCTTCTGCCTCAGCCTCCCAAGGAGCTGGGATTACAGGTGCACACCACCATGCCCAGCTAATTTTTGTACTTTTTTTTAGTAGAGATGGGGTTTCACCATGTTGGCCAGGCTGGTCTCAACCGACCTCAGGCAATCCACCTACATGAAAGTGCTAGGATTACAGGTGTGAGCCACTGTGACTGGCTGACAATTCTTTCTTTAATTGCTTTTGTACTTTTGTCAAAAATAAACTGGCCATATTTGTGTTGGTTTACACCTGAACTCACTATTCTGTTCTACTGAGCTATGTGTCTGTTCCTTCACCAATGCCACCCATTCATATCTCTGTAGTTAATGTGGCTTTATAATGAGTCTTAGAATGATAGTGTGACTCCTCCCATTTCATTCTTCCTTTTCAAAATTGTTTTAGCCATTCTAGTTCCTTTACCTTTCCACATAAATTTTAAAATCGACTTGTCTCTATCTGCTAAATTTTGACTGGCAGGGTACTGCATTTATAGATCAAATTGGGGGAAATGGACATCTTTTTTTTTTTTTTTTTTTGAGACGGAGTTTCGCTCTTGTTACCCAGGCTGGAGTGCAATGGCGTGATCTCGGCTCACCGCAACCTCTGCCTCCTGGGTTCAGGCAATTCTCCTGCCTCAGCCTCCTGAGTAGCTGGGATTACAGGCACGTGCCACCATGCCCAGCTAATGTTTTGTATTTTTAGTAGAGACGGGGTTTCACCATGTTGACCAGGATGGTCTCGATCTCTTGACCTCGTGATCCACCCGCCTCGGCCTCCCAAAGTGCTGGGATTATAGGCTTGAGCCACCGCGCCCGGCCCTGATATCTTAATAAGTTGAGTCTTTCAATCCATGAACATTTTATGTGTCTCCACTTACTTAAGTCTGTTTAAATACTTTCACTGGAATTTTGCAAATTTCGTGATAAAGATCCTGTATATGTTTTATTAGCTTTACATGCAAGTATATAATTTTCTTTGAAGCAACTGCAAATGGCATTTTAAAAATTTTGGCTTACAACTAACTGTACATTGCTACTACATAAAAATATGATTAAAATATGTGTGCTGACCTTGTATTCTGTGACTTTGTTACACTCATTTGTAAATTTTAGGAGCATTGATATGGTTTGGCTACGTCCCTACCCAAATCTCATCTTGGATGGTAGTTCCCACAATCCCTATGTGTAGTGGGAGGGACTCAGTGGGAGGTAATTGAATCATAAGAGTGGTTCCTCCATGCTGTTCTGGTAATAGTTCTCATGAGATCTGATTTTTTTAAAGGGGATTCCCCTTTTGCTTAGCTGTCATTCTTCTCTCTCTTGCTGCCATGTAAAGAAGGATATGTTTGCTTCCTTTTCTGCCATGACTGTAAGTTTCCTGAGGCCTCCCCAGCCATGCAGAACTGTGAGTCAATTAAACCTTTTTTTCTATTATAAATTACCCAGTCTCGGGCAGTTCTTCATAGCAGCATGAGAATGGATTAAAGCAAGCTTTTCCCCCCTTCACATTATTTACAATTTTCTATATGCATGATCATGTTATCTTCAAATAGTGATAATTTTATTTCTTTTTCTTGACCTATTGAAGGACTTCTTTATAGCTAGGACTTCCAGTGTAATGTTGAATTGGGAGTGTTGGGAATGGACATTCTGGTGGTGTTCCCAGTCTCAGAAAGAAAACATTCAATTTTCACCTTTAAGTATAATATCAACTGTAGATTCTTTGCAGATGAGCTTTATTATGTTGATATAATTTCTTCCTATTGATATTCTTCTGATAGGTTTTTTATAAAATCATAAATGGATGTTAAATTTTGCCAAATTTCTTTTTTGCCTCAATTGACATGATTATGTGGGTGTTCTCTTGTTTATATGGTGGATTACATAATTATTTTTTAATATTGAGCCAGCCATGTGTGCCCCAGATAAACTTGTTTGGTCATGGTGTAGTATTATTCTTTTAAAAACATATTGCTGCACTCAATTTGCTAATATTTTGTTGAGGATTTTTATGTCTAGGTTCATGAGAGATATTGTTATATAGGGTGGTTTTGTTTTCAGTATTTGTCTGGTTTTGCCATCAGAGTAATGCTGGCCTAAAGCAAACTGAGAAATGTTCCCTCTTCTATTTTCTAGAAGAATCATATAGAATTGACATTCTTTTTGAAATGTTTGGTAAAATTCTACCAGTGAAATCATCTGTACCTGAACATTACTATTCAGAAGGTCTTTAATTAAGAATTGAATTGGCCGGGCGCGGTGGCTCAAGCCTGTAATCCCAGCACTTTTGGAGGCCGAGGCGGGTGGATCAAGAGGTCGAGAGTTCGAGACCATCCTGGTCGACATGGTGAAACCCCGTCTCTACTAAAAATACAAAAAATCAGCTGGGCATGGTGGCGTGTGCCTGTAATCCCAGCTACTCAGGAGGCTGAGGCAGGAGAATTGCCTGAACCCAGGAGGCGGAGGTTGCGGTGAGCCGAGATCACGCCATTGCACTCCAGCCTGGGTAACAAGAGCAAAACTCCATCTCAAAAAAAAAAAAAAAAAAAAAAAAAAGAATTGAATTGGCAGATATCTCTTTCATCTTGTGTAGGTTTTGGTGGCTTGTGGTATTGAATAATAGGCCCATTTCATTCAAATTGTTCAAATATCATCCCAATTTATATGTGCAGAGTTGTTCAAAGTATTTTCTTATTATACATTTAACATCTGCAGTTTCTGTAGTGATGTCCCCTCTCTTTCACTCCAAACATAGTTACTTTTTTGTTCTTTCTTCTGTCAGTCTTGAGTTTCATTAGCTTATTAATTTTGCCTATTATTTTTGTTTTCAATTTATTTATTTATTTTTTAGAAAAAAATACAGAGCTTTATTATTCTCAACACCAGTGGCAGCGGTCTCTGTAGGATAGGGGAGTGAGTTCTGTTGACTGACAGGGATCGGTGGCTCCTGCTTGCCGGTGATGAGCGGGTTCTGCAGGACCACGATGACTGAGTCCCCGTGCAGGAATGTCTTGGAGATGTAGTGGTCTTTGTTGACTGGCTTGGACTTCTTCTTGCCCTTGCCGCTCTTGGGTACCTCCTTCCACATCTCCTTCACGTTCTTCAGCACCATGTTGCAGTGCCTTTCAAAGGCCTTCACACGGCCCAGGAGTTTCTTATTGTTGCAGCAGTTGATGAGCACTTGGATGTTGCTCTTGATGGACTGAGTGAGCACAGAGAGTGGCCCCATGTTAAATTCCTCCTCCTCTCGCTTCTGCAGCTCCTCTGGGGTCATCTCACTCTTGGGCTTGTTGAGGAGGCTCATGTTGGTCACTAAGCTCTCGGTTCACTCTGGTTTCCCTGTTTTCAATTTATTTGATTTCTGCTTTTTAAATTTCCTTTTGTCTTCTTCTACTTTATTAAAATGGAAGCTTATGTAAACAATTTGAGACTTTCTTTCCTTTCCCATATGAGCATTGAATGCTATAAATTTCCCTTGAAACACTGCTTTTTTTTGCTGCATCCCACAGATTTTGTGTTACATACCCATTTTTGCTTAGCTCCAAATACTTTTTACTTCCTTTAAAATTTTCTCTTTGACTCACTGATTATTTATACATGTGTGACTTTATTTCCAAGTACTTAGGGAAGTTTATAGTTATTTTTCTGTTAGTAATTTTTTGCTTAATTACATTATGGTCAGAGAGCATACTTTATGTGAGTTCAATCTTTTTATCGAGGTATGCTTTGAGACACAGGATATAGTCTACCTTGGGGAATTTTCCACAGGTGGAAATAAAGTGTACTCTGCTATTGTTGAGAATCCTATCAATGTCCACTGGATTCAGGTCAAATGATGTCTGGAAGACTGGAGGAAAAAATGATAAACTCACAGCCAGTTGTATCATATAGTACTTCTAATTCTAGTCTTATTCCTCAATACACTGTAATTTACTTTTTAAGAGTCCTCAAATAGCTGCTACATGCATTCTATCCATGTTTTGGAGCTACACTTAGTGGGAGAGATGGTGTGCAATGTGGTTTCTTCATCTTATCTGGAATTGGAACTTGTTGATAACCTTTAATTCAGTCATCTCTCTCTCTGGAGAAGCCATTCTTAGAAAATAATCTAGAAGAAATGCATGCGTATCTGTTTCCCTAAAAGCAGTATTTAGAAATAAGTGATACGGCCAAACTGTGAGAAGTAAATGCATCATTCGATAAAATATAGCATAGCTATATAGAAGAAGAGTGTTTGAGAAATGATGCTGAGCTAAACATAAACTTGAATCAGCATGATTTTATTAAAGAAAAATTCTACCAGTGGAGAAAAATATGTATATATATGAAATATTTGAAAATAGTTGCTAAAATTCTAAATTTTTTCTATTAGAGACAAATTATTTATTTGCTAACAAGGAATAAAAAGGAATTCTTAATTTAATTAAGAATTAGAGTAGATCTTGATCTTTTGCAGAAATGCAAAGATACCTGAATCACACAACTTAGACAATTTAAATGTTCTAGATAGAAGTGTCAATGTTGTGATTTCCATTGTATTAGTGGTTGCTATACTCTCTTCCTTGTTTTCAAGTTTCATGCCAGGAGGCAGAAGTATTTTCTTGATGTTGTGAGTCTATGAGAAATATGGTAACACATTTGATTGTCACACTTCAACCAGCTGTGGGGGAAAGCTCATATTCTAGGGCTCTACAGAAGTTTTCACCTATGAACGTGGCCTCATCATCTTCACTGGCCTTGTCTTGTTTGTCAACAGCTGCTGCTGTTGCTGCATGGAAACATTCAGCTATCTTCATGACAAATAGCTCAAAGTGCTAAGTGAGACATTCTTAGAATGATCCATTTGGTCAAAGAGCTCATTATCTGCAAGTGACAACAGACAAATGTGGGACTGATGTAAGTAACTTTCAGGAACTCCTTGATAAGCTTATCAAGGAGCCTGGCTGTGGTCCGAGGTGGAAGACTTTCAAAAGCTTTTGTTACATAGAAATCACCAAGAATTTTTTGAGTTTCTTCAGTTCTAAAGAGGTTAGTTTCTGGCAGCGTCACACCCAGCACTTTTTCAAGCTCTTCTACCATGCTGATTCTCCAGAAGGGTGAGCAAAAGGTTTGATTTTCTGGGCCATCTGGATGGTGGGTGACCTTGGAACCACCTGTGATGTGCTTCACCCCTGAATAATCTTTTCTGGGATTTCCACAGTCTTTTCTGGGATTTCAATAGATCATGATAGTCTGCATAGACCATGTAGAACCAACAGGTGCTGAACTCAGGGTGGCAAATCAAATACATTCTCTTATTCCTTAACTGGCATCCAATTTCATAAATCCAATCAATGCCACTAACCAGCATCTTAAGGTAGAGTCCTGAAGCAATTCTCAAATATAAGTTAATGCCCACCTTGTTGTGGTAGGTGATGAAAGGCTTAGCCCCGATACCCTGGGAAGATGTTCATCAAGAAGGTTTCAATGTCTAGAAATCTCAACTCATCCAAAAAACTTCTCGTATATGTGGTGATCTCAGGGCAGATCATATTGCTTTCTCAAAAAGTCACCCAGGATCAAGTCCAAGTACTCAAATAATACTGGGTCTCCTTGCCTTTGAGGCTATAGTAAGGATGAGGCAACATGTGAGCCAGGAGACAGCAATGCAATTCCGCAGGGGTTGATGCTTCGCTCGCCGTTCTTGGCGTTTCCCAGATTTTCCTGGACTCCCAATATGTCTTCCTGTGGGAGTTTATTTACTGACTCAGAATTCCTCGACGTGGCCATAACTTGCAACTCCACTCCAGACTGCAGGGATCATTAGAAGGTGAACTATCCCCAGCTATTTTGGCATGGATGTTCAGGGTGACGTCAGTCAGGTGGTCACAGGCTGCGGGGGTCTTCCACAGTAACCTCTGGCGGGGGCCTATGCTGGGGACCTGCATGGAGCCTTGAAGTTTCCATTCGGGTCCACAGTCAGTGGTGTGGCTGGTGGCGGCAGCCACGGCTGGCCTAGCGGTTGCTCACTGAGCTCTGGCTTGGACCCCTTCCTGGCTGCTCTCTTCTCTTCAGCTCATTTTTGTCAGTTCCGGATCACCGCCGCCCACTTACACTTCAGAGTCCCGCCCCGCAGCCCCCTTTCCTGAGGCCTGGGATGAGGCCTCAAAACCCCTCGAGGCCCCTCGTCCACGTCCACGTCCGCCCGAAGTCCCGCCTCTTCCGGGGAAGGGGCGCTGAGGCTGCGCAATCGCGGCCCGCTGTGAGAGCGCTCCTCCGGCGGCACAGGCGCAGTGCTGGGTGTGTCGCCGGGCGACACAGCCGGTTTTCCTGCCGCGCAGGCGCGATGCTGGGTTCGCGGCCCAGCCTCAGCGCGGGCCCTGCGGCTGCGCGGCGTTTCGTGGCCGGCGTCCGTTGTGCGCATGCGCACTGCCGCTGGCCGCGGGCCCGGCGATCGCCCTCTCGCTGCGGGCGCGGGAGGGCGCGGTGTCGGCGCGGGAGGGCGCGGGAGGGCGCGGTGTCGGCGCGGGAGGGCGCGGGAGGGCGTGGTGTCGGCGCGGGAGGGCGCGGGAGGGCGCGGTGTCGGCGCGGGAGGGCGCGGTGTCGGCGCGGGAGGGCGCGGGAGGGCGTGGTGTCGGCGCGGGAGGGCGCGGTGTCGGCGCGGGAGGGCGCGGTGTCGGCGCGGGAGGGCGCGGGAGGGCGTGGTGTCGGCGCGGGAGGGCGTGGTGTCGGCGCGGGAGGGCGCGGTGTCGGCGTGCCGCAGCTCGGTGAGGCGCTGGCCGAGGCCGCGAGTGTTGGCTTTTAGGTCAATGGACTTAACTCCGGCATGAGCCGGTGACCCCGGGGCACGTGGGCGCACCCTCCCTGCGGAGTCCTCGCGGGAAGGAGCCGGCCGGGGCGGCACGACATCCCCGCGGCGGGACCCGGCCGCGCCTCGGTCGCGGGCCCCGCCCCGGAAAGCCCCTCCGCGCGCTGCGCCCTCCTCCAGGCGACCCCCGGGGTCGGGGCCGGCGCTGCGGGCCCGCGAGGGCGCCCTGCCCAGCTCCTTGGCCCCCGGCCGGCCCCAGCCCTTACCGTCTGGGCGCCGTCCTCGAACACCTCGCGGGCCTCCTCGTAGGAGCAGGTCTCCTCCAGGCACTCCCTCTCGAGGTTTCCTTTCTTTAACTCTTCTAAGATGGAATTGGCCCTCCTGACCCTCGCCAGGACGGCGCTGGCCTGCTCCCTGCGGATGAACACTGGAAGACGGGGAGGACAGGGGAGAAGCTCCGGTCACCCTCCGCGGGCCCCTCGCCGCGCCCCCGGCGGCAGCGGCCCTTACCACGTCCACATCACGGAAGGCGGGTCACTCCCTTGGGCACCAAAAATCAAGTTCTAAGCCCCCAGCCTGCTGAGTGCACCCCTCCTCTCTGCCAAGGGGATTCCATAGGAACCTGAAGCACGAGTTCAGGCCGTGACGGGAAGGGGGGTCCCACGTGCCTCATTGTTTCTTCCTCCCTTTGGAATTCAGGCACAGCTGACCATCCTCTGCAGTGAGAGAGCTTAAGACCGACCAAACAGATTCTCTGTAGCAATAGATGCCGGTTTCCAACCTGACTTGTCTAGTATAGGGTCACATGACATATAGCAGGCCCTAAAAGACATTATTTCCCCTCAAATTGTATTTCTTTAACGTATTATAAAATTGCCCTGCAGAGCTGTCTCAGGGGAACCTACATTCTGTAGAGAACCCCCTTACCTTCCCATGTCTTTTTCTGAGTCGAGAGTCGAGCACCTTTTTTTTCCTTTAAGATGGCGTCTCGCTCTGTCACCCAGGCTGCAGTGTAGTGGCACGTCAGCTCACTGCAACCTCTGCCTCCCAGGTTCAAGCCATTCTCCTGCCTCAGGAGGAGATTGTCCTGCCTCAGCCTCCGAGTAGCTGGAACCACAGGTGAGCACCACCACATACAGCTAATTTTTGTATTTAGTAGAGACGGAGTTTCACCATGTTGGCCAGGCTGGTCTTGAACTCCTGACCTCAAGTGATTGCCAAAGTGCTGGGATTGCAGGATGAGCCATGGCATCTGGCCAAGAGTGTAGCACTTTTTAAACGTCTGTAGAGGAAACAGTTGCCATCTATTGCTTCTAAGGGTGGCCACCTATGAGTCTTCATCTACATAACAAAAACCTTGGTCTCCACGACCCCTTATCATAACCCAGATTCTCCTTTCTATTTATTCTAGGTCTTTAGATAATTCTTTCAACTGATTACCAATCAGAGTATCTTTGAAGCCACCTATGACCTGGAAGCCCCCACCTTTCCTCTTTCTGAAATGAACCAGTTTACACCTTATGCTTATTGATTGATATCTGTCCCCCTAAAATGCATAAAATCAAGCTGTGACCCAACCATCTTGAACACATGTTCTCAGGACCTCCCAAGGTTGTGTCATGAGTCATGGCCCTCACATTTGGCTCAGAATAAATCTCTTCAAAGATTTTACAGAGTTTGGCTTCTTCATCAACATTTTCCTCAGGCACTTTGGAGACTGTGGAAGGGAATGGCTGTCTCTCTCCCCAGTTCTCTATGAGGTACAGCACGAGGCACCTGCTCTAGACCCATGCACCCTGCTCTGGAGAAGTAGACACATCCCATCCAGTCAGCTCATCAGCCTCCTCACATGCTCACGCCGGCTCAGTGGGCCACCCAAGCCCCCTTCCTTGAATCCCTCTCCCCCAGAGTGCTCAGCCCACTCTGCCCCGTGCTTTGGCTCAAGCTGTGCCCCTTCAGCCTGGCTTCACTGTCTTTAAGGTCTCCGTTCTTTGTAATGTGGTGGTTTGTGATGCTCTTTTGGTTACAAGCTCTAGAAGTACAATGTATGAAGTCCCAGGACACACACATATGCCAGCTTTCAAGAAACAGCACTGATTAGTATTTAAAAAAAAAAAAAAAAAGCTTAGTGCAAAGTTTTCTACTTTTTTTTTTTTTTTTTTAAATACCGAGTTGATTTCATGGCAAGCATGAAATCACTGGCATGACTGGCAAGCTTCTTTTCTTGGCTCTGTAGTCTTTTTCTGTACTTTTTTTCCACTGAAAAACTCAGTGTCTCACCACTATAAAGATGACTCTCCAAACTGACCTCTCTAGCACTGACTTGTCCTGAGCTCCGTGTCTTCGGCTCTCTCACCATGACAGATGCCTTCCCTCATCTCAGAACTCCAGACTCCATGTCCAAGATTTAAAAACAAGACTGCAGAACCAAGCAATTTTGGGTTTCAAAAACATCTTACTCACTTACTACTTATTACTGGCAGATGAGAATAATAATACCTATTCTTAGAGTTGTTTTAAAGAGTGTATAAACTTCTAGTGTTGAGTTTGGTATACAGAAGGTGCTCAATAAATCTTAGGTTCATTCCTATCTCCAGTTACTTTATCTTCCAAATTCCCCATTTCTTAAGTGACACCGACATTATCCCACCAACGCTAGGCTTAGATTTACTGTTTGTTGACCCTGCCCCACTACTCTGCATGTCTGCTCAAGCACTTGCTCTGAGACGAAGCCCACACGTGGCTCCTGCAGGTCTGTACACATGGCTCCCTGCTGCAACCTGCAGCCTCATGTCACCTCACTCCACAAAGTCACCTAGGGTGCTGAGAGTGGGGCAGGGAATGCCCGTCTCCCTCGGGACCCCTGGCTCTCATGTTGGGATGACCACAGCCTCAGACAAGTTATCCAAGCATGGCTCAGTGTTTTCCAAATTGGGAGTGGTGGCCTCCGGGGCTCCACTTGGGGTCTGAAGGCCACATCCTGCCTTGCCTGCGATGTTCTCATGCACGTCCACATGAACACCTCTCGACCCTACCTCTCTTCCACTTGATCTCCTTCCCTGTGCCAGACTGACGTACGCCTGGTTTTCTCTCTGCTGCCCTAGAGCCACAGTGACGGTTCACAGACTTGCCACTCAGCCAGGGCTTGATGCCCTCACTGTTTCTGGTCAGTCCCTCGCACCCTCTGACTCAGAGGAGCTCGCTGCTCTGCAGTGCCAACCACACCTCTGCTCCCCTTGGCATCCGGCTCTGAGCATCCCCAGGCTGACTCACCACTAAGAATTCACCTTTCCTGTGCAGTGCTCGCCCAGTTCCTGCTGCTTCCCATCTCCCTGAAGCCTGCTCACCTCTCCCCAGCTCAGGGGGGTAGGACACTGCCTACAGAATTGAGCAGGACCGGGTGGGGAGGAGGATGCAGGTGGCGGGCACGGGGTGGAAGAGATGATGCATGGAAGTCAAAGACAACCCAGAACCCGACCCCAGGGTCTTCCCACAGCCAGGGCTCCCAGGCCACACCACCTTCCGCTCTGCCTTCATGTCTCTCTGCCACACAGGGCTCCACACTGACCTAGGCTGAGCCCAAGACTCATACCCCAGGACCTTGGCACCAGTCTTTTCCCTGTCTGGAACATTCTTTCCGCAGATACCTGCATGGCCCGGCCCCAGCTCCCCCTGAGAGGCCCTCCCTGACCACGCTCTCTGACATTGCCCCCACCTGTCTCTCTTCCAGCCCCTTACACTGTGCTGTTTGTCTGCTAGCGTCTAACCCCTCTCTGACGTTACACGTTGACAGGTTCATCCTTCCCTCCGCTGGAAAGACTTGGTCTGTTTGGTCACAGCTGTGTCCCCACGCCTGGCAAGACCGGAACTTAACCAATATTTGTTAAGGGAATGATGGAAAGACTGCACGCCTGGCCCGGGCCTCTGGACTGAATCTGGGCACCTCCGCCGTCGGTTACTGCTGAGCCACATCAGCGTTTCAGCCAGGCTGAGTAGGTCGGGCCTCAGCCACGTGGCCACATTTTCTGATGTGAGTAAAGTGGGATTGGCAAAACGAAATTAAAATGCGCCAAGGTTTTTAGACACGTCTCAAGAAACGAATGGAATTGATCCAGATCAGAGTTCTGGAGTGTCCACACTCAACACACGTCGGTTGTGTGGTTTTGTTTCTTGCGTGCATTTGTTCAGAAGCTGTCAGGAGTGTCGCAATCCTTGAACACACGGTCGCGTTTGTTGCGGCAACGTCAGCGACTTCCATGATCAGCAACTGCATTCGAACAGGTTTTACCAGCAAGCAGAAATTTCAGCCAGTAGGGTCAAAACTCATGAAGAATGGATTTAAACTTGCTGAATGTAAAGACGGAACCTGAAGTCACGTAGCGTTAGTAATTGCCAGTCCAACAGCGGCCGTTTAGAGGCTGGCGCTGTGCGTGTCCTGATTTTATTAAAAATAAAAAGTTTTATTGGATTGCAAAAACACTCACAGGTGTCAGGACAGGGCTGAATAATATCTCTCCAAATTCATGTCTTTCTCAGAACCTCAGACGTGACCTTAACTAGAAATAGAAGTTTTGTGATGTATTTGGTTAGGAAGACATTTTACTGGAGTAGGGTGAGCCCTAAATCCAATGACTGGTGTCCTTTCGGGAGGAAAGAAGACCCACAGAAAAACAGCTGTGATGAGAAGGCCACGCGGTGATGGAGGCAGTGGTGACGGTGATGCACCCCCAAGCCACGGCTCCGAGGCCACTGCCACCCGACGCCGGAAGACAGGCCCACAGCAGACTCTCCCCCAGGCTGCGGACGAACCAGCCCCACTGACACCTTGATTTTGAACTTCCAGCCTCCAGAGCTGTGGGAAAAATGTTTCTGTGGCTATAAGCTACTTGGTCCATGGTCCTTTCTCATAGCAGCCCCAGCCACGTAGTGCTGAGGCCCCACCACCCCAGAGGAGCTTCGTGACTGCCAGGACAGCCATGTTCGTTTCAAGGCTAGGCTGCAGGTGCTGTGCGTATTTGATTTTATTAAAATAAAAAGTGTGCACAGCAAGGTCCTGAGTGGGACATTCTGGGACCACCCACCCCAGAGTGCAGCTGCTAAGGCCTCTGAGGCGGAGTGGGGGAGGGAGACGGCCTGGCGCCTTCTCTGGTGCTGACCATGTCCTCCCAGGATGCAGGCTGGCCCCGGAGACACCACAGTCGTGGTCATGGGCCAGGCCAGCTCCACACGGCTAAGGGTGTCATGCTCCTGTGGGTCCAGAGGTCTCAGGGCTCCTGCACGGGGCAGTGTGGCCTGAGGGGTGGGGAGGAGCTGGGGGAGATGGAAGCACCCATTACTCCATGGAGGGGGGTCCCCTTCCGTGTGGAAGACAGTGAGAGGCGGGCTCAGGGGACAGAGGCTGGGGGCGGGCAGCGGGCTGAGGGTGGGGTGGCGGACCCCCATGCAATGGGGCTGGGCCGCTCGGGTCAGCAAGGCCTCAGCCTCAGATGCGTTATCCAAGCCTGAGGGTCCACTCAGCCTTCCCAGGGGCCTCCCCTTTCCTCCTCACGAGGGTCTTCCCCTGCTCCGTCTCTCCCTCACACCCTCCTCCATGCCTGTGTCTGCTAGGTGCCCCTGCCTGTCCGCTTTATCCAGGACGCACACAAGCCTAGGGTCCCCGTCTCCCGCATCCCCACCAGAGGAGCCTCCTCTTCCTCTGCTGCCCCCAGCCTTGCCTGGCTTCTGCCCTTCCTGGGCCTCTGCTTTTGGACAGGCCTGGGGTCCTGGACATCCCTGGTGGCCCCCCCAGTCCAGCTGTGCGGAGCCAGTCCGAGGGCAGTGACGCTGGCTCGGCTCAGCTCCTCCTCCCTGGGCGCTCCTCTGTGGTGCCCCCTCCCCGTCCTCCCTGTGGTGGCAGACGGCCAGCTGTCCTGCCTCTGCCTGCCCCCACCCCTCCCTCTGTGTCCCCCGCTGCGCCTGTCCCTGTCTCTCCATCTCTGCCTCCAGGTCTCCCATTTCACTGTTTCTCCCTCCCTCTCCTTGCTGACTCTGTCCTTGCGTTTTGGCCTCTGTGACCTCTGACCTGCCCGTCTGACTCTCAGCCACAGGAATGTCCTTGGCTAGAAAGGCCGAGCCTAGCCATCCGAGGCCAGCCCCTGACAGCGGCCAAGCCACCCACCGCCCCGGCTGCAGAGACGAGAGGGTTTCCCCGGCGGCCGCCCTCCCTGCTCCCCTGCCGCCTTTGAGTCTGAAGGGCGAGGGGCACTTACGGCTTCCCCCGGGCAGCAGGAGGCCAGCCAGGGAGGCGCTGAGTAGGACGAGGTGCAGTGGGCGTCCCATGGTGTGGCTGAGCACCGTGTCCCCGTCCTCCGCGGGAGGCTGCCTGAGCAAAGTCCACGCCCCGGCTGGGACGGCTGCTGCCCCGCTGCTTGTCACTTGGCTTAGGCCTCCTGATTGGAGCCAGGGCCTGCTGGCGAGGCAGGGGAGTGACCACGCTGGGAACACAGCCGGCCTGGCCCCACCTTCCCCAGGCAGAGCTGAGGGGCCCAGTGGAGCCCCATCCTCATCAGTAACCAGGGCCTGCCGTGGGCGTGGGGACGTTCTGTTCCAAGAGCGAATAAAAGCATCATTTCGTGCTTGTTTTGTAGTTTCCAGATGTTTACATTTAACTCTCCGTCCTCACGATCACATAAAAGAGTCACTTTTCCCATCGTTTTTCTAGCACAGAAAACTGAGGTTAGAGCGCAGGAAGCCTGGGCGGAGGCCACGGGTGGCGACTGTGGGATTGGGCCTCAGGGCGGCTGCTCCAAGGCCGTGCTTGTTTCTGGGCGGGTCCTTCTGCTCATGTTCACTCTCTGGGTGGTGTCTGGTGGTCTCAAGTCACGGCAGGGGCTTGGCGTCCGCACCACGGTCTCCCAAGGGCCAGGCTGGTACCTGTCCCACCCACCCTCAAACCTTCTGTGCCCACGTGGCCCCAGCATGTACTGCCGTGGGGAGTGGGCCTCCCCTCACCATCTGGAGGGACAGGCTCTGCCTGAAACCCCTCCTGGCCTCCCCACCACTGGCCACACTGTTCCGAGACCGAGCGGGCCCCTGGGCCTGTTCTCCAGCGCAGAACCTCTGCCTGCAGGCCGGCGGGTTGGCTGCTGCAGCTCCAGCTCATCTTGCATCACAACACGGCGTTTTCCAGAAGCACTCCTCTGCTCAGTGGCTGTGGGAGTCACTGGGAGGTGCAGCCAGGATTTTTGCCTCTGGGGTCTCTGGAGTAAATGGTCTAAAACTTGGCCACGTGACGACCACTCCCTGCTATGCGGTAGTGGACGGGGAACAAGGTCCCTAAGACCTACAGCGCTGGCCACTGCCTCATGCTGCATCTGCCTTGACGAGTCGCCCTGTCTCGTGGCCACCTGCACATGAGCCTGGTGTGCACACACGGTACATCTGTGCCCGGCACACAAGAGCCGCTCACTGAGGCCCCCACCGACTGCACAAACTGATGTCCAGGCGGGACACCAGTCCTCTGAGAGGGCCTTCCTGGTGGCGTCAGGTGTCTGGCTCCTGCCTCTCCTGGTGTCCAGGCTCTGGCATCACCTCTAAGCATGTGTGTAAGGAGAGACCGATGCAGTGTGTGCACCACCAGCAGGGTGCCCATGCAGACACACAGTCTTTGTGATCAATGCTGGTGGCCATGCTGGCTGTGGGGGCGTGAGCCTGCCGCCTCCTCCACCCCGTCCCCGTGGCCTCCCTGCACTCTGTCTCACTGCTCACAGAAAGCTGGAGCCCAGCCGTGGCAGGGGGCACGTCCCATATGAAACATGTAGGCTTTCGGGGTGCCCAGGCCCTCAGCAAAGCCTCTGGGGAGCCCTCCTCGTCCGACAGCACCGTGAGGTGAGTGCCTGCACTTCCCAGTGGCAGGAAGGGAGGCCGGTGCTCGGGACCCGGCGTGACTCCCCTGTTGACTCCTGTGGATCTGGGTGGGCTCCTGGCTTGTCCTCTCATCTTCACCCTCCGCTTCTTCCCAGGAAGAGGAGTCCTGCCAACTTCCTCTCCCAAGAAGCCAGAGCAGCTTCCAGAGCCTTGGGCTGGGCTTAGGGCCTCAGGAGCCCGGAGCATTCTGATTGCAGAATTTTCTACCAATTCACTGAAGCGTCTATTTGCAAAGTGGCTTTGCTGTCGATGAGGACGGTATGGGCTTTTCCAGGACTTCGTTCTACCCGGCCTGATCTCATCCCACCAAAGGCATCACGGCGGGCTCCTGTTTTACAGACGAGGAAACTGAGGCATAGTCACTCAGGACAAAAGAGAAAGCAGAGCCAGCTCTGACCCGGGTTAGGCCCTGCCGTTGGCTCCTGTAAAGTCTGAGTTCCATGTGCGGGGCGTTAGGAACCGGGGTCTGGCCAGCGTCAGCAAGCGTCTGTGGCAGTGGTCCTGACGTGAACCACGCCGGGCTTCGCGGGTCAGTGGCTCTGTCTGTCTGGACGGCCTCTGTCACGCATTCCATCGATACTAACATGGGTGTGTTCCCAGAAAACTTTATTTACGAGAGCAGGGTGGCTTGGAAGCAGTCCTTGGCCATAGTTCCCGGGCCCTGTCTGCTCCAAAGCAGATGTTCCCTGAGCGCCCCTGAGGTGGGTTGGCCCCTGCCGTGCTGCTGTGAGCCCCGCTGGTGCCCAGGACGGCCCGTGCAGGGCGACGCTGAGTCGGCTTTACGAGCCATGCTTGCTGGAGCTGGAGTGGGGACAGTGTCTGTCGCCTCCCTGATTTCCCTGTTCACGTTCCTCATTCTTCCCCCACCAACCCTGGGGACTTGGCAAGAGTGCAGCTTGCCAGGTCCTCCCCCTGCAGCCAGGGCCTGGGAGACTGCATTTAGCGAAGTGTTCCCGATTTTCAAGCAGGTGCTCCCGGGGCCACTGAGAAATGTCATTGACAAGGGCTGCAGGGACAGAACATCCAGTTGCACAGGGGCCTGCAAGCTACAGCCTCAGACATCTATCCAAGAGGTTTGTTTTGAAAAAACAGCTTCCGTGTGAAGGGTCATTTCAGTGATGCTGAAAACTGTGAAGAAAAGAGCAGCTCAGAGGATGAGCACCGGGCCCCAAAATGAATCATGGGCAACCCAGAGGGTGGGAGGCCCCGCAGGCACGGAGGAGATGCAGCTGTTTATTGTGAAGTTGGGCAGCAGGTGAGAACAGCCTGTGCAGTGCGGCACCCAGCTTAGGGTGAAGTACATTTGGTGGAAGAGTTTGGGGCATTTACGACATGCATGGTGATGCTTCTGAATTGTCTGAAGTGAAGATGAAACGTTTGCATAAGAACGAGAAAAGTGAGAGAGGGAACAGCACACATGCAGTCAGCATCAGTGTGTGTGCTCATTGGTGTGTGTATGCATCAGTGTGTGTACCTGTGTGCATATGTGTGTGCATCCATATGTATGTGTGTACATTTGTGTGCGCCTTGGTGTGGGTACCTTTGTGCATGTGTGTGCATAGCTGTGGGCACTGGTGTGTGTGCATGTTTGTGTGCATCCACGTAATTTGTGCACACACTGGTGTGTGCATCGGTGCATCTGTGTGCACATGTATCTGTGTGTACGTTTCTCTGTATGTGCATTGGTATGTGTATGTATCTGTGTGTGTACACAACTCCACTGTCTCCAGCAGTGAAAGCACAGCAGCAGCCTGAGACCAGCAGATCACGTGCAGGTGGGCTTGGCCGAAGCGAGACAAGGAGGCCTAGCGGGGCTGTCTGCCTCCGGGACAGCCGTGGCACTCCCCTGCTCTCCATCTAGCGCCTGCCTGCCTCTGCCTCTTATCTTTCTATGCCCTCTGTGTCTTTATTAAAATAGTCTGAGTCTCTCCATGTCCTCAGAATGTCTCCCTCAGTCTCTCTTTCTGTCTCTGTCTCCCTCCATGCCCCTCCCTCCCTGCCATGCCCTCCTCTACCCCATGAACTGCAGAAGAATCGATGGGGTTTGGTGCCAGGACATCTCTACACAGCCCCAGCTTTCTCTCCATGCTGGGCTAGGGAAATGGGGCTCGACGGAGGATGCCTGGCTGTGGCTCTGAGTGCATGAGCTTGTGCAGCCACTCGGTGTATTGGGAGACCCTGGTGTACACCCCAAAATGGCCCACAGCTGCGCAGCCCTGGCCCCAGCTGACGACGCCTGTCAGGTACCAGGTGCCCCGGTAGCGGGTGGCGTGTGGACCTCCACTGTCCCCCTTGCAGGAGTCCTTGCTACCATCCCGGTAGCCAGCACAGAACATGTACTCCGTGACATTCGGGGAGCCTCCCGTCTTCTCCGACTGCTCCAGGCAGTCCTGGGTCATCAGCCGGGGCACACTGATGGCCATGAGCTCCAGGGCCTTGGCGCCACGGTCCAGCAGCTGACCCCAGCCGCTGACCAACGAGAAGCGCACGTAGGCCAGCGTCATCTCAGAGAACGTCCGCTCAGGCAGGCAGAGGGGCACCACGTGGTCAGTGAGGACCACAGGCTGGTGCAGGCGGAGCAGTGCGATGTCGTGGTTGGTGGTACCCCGGACATACGTGCTGGGGATGATGACCTGCGCCACCCGCTGGCTCTGCTCGTCCCCGTCGTGCTCACTGAGGTCGTGCTCACCTGGAAGGAAGGGGCCCTACTCAGGCCTGTGCCACCACCTGCAGCCTCACCCTGGGGCATGGGGACAGGCTGTGGCCATTTTCAGGTCTGCAGAGCTGCAGTCTCCTTTTGGGGCCAGGGGTCCTGCATCCCACCCCAAGGTGACCCTGCAGACCTGCTCCAGTGGCAGCCTGTGGCTCCTGGGGGACATGTGAACTGGGGTGAATCTGGGGCCTGGGTGTTGGGTTGGGGAAGGGGTGCTGGGGCCTGGCAGCCTGGGGGACAGGGTGTGCCCCGATTCTTCACAGTTCTTCTCGGCCTGGTGGCCCTCCTGGGAGTGCTCATCTCGCCCATAAACCCAGCCACCTGGCGGGCCCATAAGGCTCTGGGCGTTGCACCTTCCTCTGGGCTCTTGGCCAAGCGAGGCAGGATGGGCAGCGGCTCCAGTCTTTTACCATTTTATCTGGGCATGGGAAAGTGGTTGTGAGAGGATGGTGGCCAGAGCAGGCATGCCCAGCACAGCCACTCCCCTTTAGGAGACATCTGTCTGTCTGTGGAAGTGACAGCATGAAGCCCAGAGCCGCGGCTTCTGGGCCTCGAGAGCTGCCGTCAGGTAGGGAGGGCAGCACCTACGCAGCACCTACCCAGCACCGCGCTTATGTTCCTCCAGTTCTTGATTTTGTCGAAACAGTGAGCCGCGGAGACCACCCAGCTGGTGTCGATCAGGGTCCCCCCACAAAACATAGCTCCATTCTGCACCAGCAGCACCTGCGTGGGGCACAGCAGGCGTGGAAGTCACATGGCTGTCACTGTTTCCCGGGTGACTCGCCCTCCCGGGCACCCCAAGGGACCTCTGGCATCACACAATTGGTTTCTGAAATCCTCGGGTCCTTGCAGATCCCTCCCGGGCAGAGCTGCTCACACCCAGCTCTGGGGGGCTGAGCCCCTCTCTGGCTGAAGCATGCTCTTGGGTACAGCCTAACAACACAGATGTCGCTGTGGGATTTCACTGTTCACCTCGCAGGATCTTCACACAGCTTTGATGCAATGCTCCTGATTTTGCAAAGATCAGGCAAGAATTCTACCCTAAAGAGTAACAGTGAGGCCGGGCGCCGTGGCTCAAGCCTGTAATCCCAGCACTTTGGGAGGCCGAGGTGGGTGGATCACGAGGTCAAGAGATCGAGACCATCCTGGTCAACAAGGTGAAACCCCGTCTCTACTAAAAATACAAAAAATTAGCTGGGCATGGTGGCGCGTGCCTGTAATCCCAGCTACTCAGGAGGCTGAGGCAGGAGAATTGCCTGAACCCAGGAGGCGGAGGCTGCAGTGAGCCGAGATTGCGCCATTGCACTCCAGCCTGGGTAACAGGAGCGAAACTCCGTCTCAAGAAAAAAAGAGTAACAGTGAGGATGACATGACAGCCCGGGCGCGGAACCTCGCTGCGCTCTTTGCACAGGGCAGACCCTCAGCGTTGTTCTCTTTTCTCGTCCATCAAGTGCAGCGAGCTGGAGGTGCTGGGTGGGCTGACGCGGAGCCTGGTGGGCCTGGGGCTGACCTGCCCGTTTCCCTTCCGGAGCTGTTGTCCAGCTCACATTCAAAAGTCTCCAAGCCCCTCAGGGCTCAGAATCCTGAGGCCAGGGAAGTCTTACCTGCCATGGACACTCCCCTTTGGGGCACACCCTGCCCCCCACAATTCGGCCTTGGGGGATGCTGGCATTTCTTTTTTCTAGAATAGGTATTTTTCCACATGGATATTCAACTGCGTAAAACAAAAGTCAGGAAGATGCAGAGATCTGTGAGGAGTGTGCCACCAGTTCAGGCTCAGAAGCATCCTTCCTCTGAGAGGCTTGAGGTCGAGGCTTCGGGAGGTCCCCTCGCAGGAGCTGCCAGGTCCCAGGGGTAGGGAGGGCAGGGCCTTGGCTGGGCCTGGCTGGTGGGGCTGGGCCATGAGAGGCCCTGGCAGAAGCAGCTGGCTGAGGGGACAATGGTCAGGGCTGGCTTTGGAGGAAACAGAGGGCCCTACATCTTGAAACCAGCCTCTGCTTACTTTTCAAGGGGACAACGTGTTGCTTGACTTTACTAAAAGGTTAATGAAATTCTGCCTCAAGATGAATCAACAGCACAAACAATTGTGTTGTTCTGATCCCAGGCTTAGTTTTTGATCTGCTCCAATCAAGGTCTTGGGCCAGAAAGAAAACCCGAGGAGGTGGCAGGCTGAGTCCTAGGCTGTATGGCTGGGGTGGGCACATCTGCCTCCAGGAGACACAGCGGACATGAGGTGTCCCTGCTGGAGACAGAGCGGGCATGGGGTGGCCCTGCCGGAGACAGAGGGTGTGCGGTGTCCCTGCCGGAGACAGAGCGGGCATGGGGTGGCCCTGCCGGAGACAGAGCGGGTGTGGGGTGGCCCTGCTGGAGACAGAGGGTGTGGGGTGTCCCTGCCTGAGACAGAGCGGGCGTGGGGTGGCCCTGCCGGAGACAGAGGGTGTGGGGTGTCCCTGCCGGAGACAGAGCGGGCATGGGGTGGCCCTGCCTGAAACAGAGCGGGCATGGAGTGGCCCTGACTGAGACAGAGCCGGCATGGGGTGTCCCTGTCTTTGGAAGTACAGCCCATTAGTTCCAGGCTGCTTTGGAGAAACATCCTATTTTCCCAGGAGCCTTTACAGGTTTAGGAATGCAAAGTGGGCAGCAGTCAGTACAGACACTGGCTGTGTCAAAGTAGATTCACCAACCCTGGCGGAGGCCCCACGAGTGGGGGTGGGATGTGAGACAACGCCTCACTTGTCTCTCCTGGCCTGCCTAGAATGGGCAGGGGGCCTGAGGCCATTCAGGAACTGCCCCAGGGTGCCCATCCTAGGCACTATGGCTCTGGCCTGTGCCACCTTGGTGCCCAGATCCCGCCTCACAGTTGGTCAGCGCATAGTGGGTGCTCAGTAGATGCAAAGCCACCCCCACCCGTCTTTTGTCCAGTAAGATAAGCCGTGGTGGGACAAGGACGGGTGTCACCTGGGACTGGGGGCCATCTGGTACATGAAACCACAAGCAGCCCCTGGGACTCACCTGTGGGCATGCAGGACACGCCGTCTGCCAGCAGCGAGTATCCCTCGTGGCACCGACAGGAGCGCCTGGCGCCCGCGCGGTCGCTGCAGTACTGCGCACAGCCGCCGTTATCGTTTATGCAGATCAGCTGGTCGTCCTTGTCTGAGGGCAGGAAGGGGACAGGCCGAGAGTGGCCACTTGGAGTCAGTGAGAGCCAGCCCCGGGGGTAGCCGTGCCCTGGGTCAGCAGTGGCATTCTGCCTGGAAGGTGGCACTCAGCTGTGGGCGACAGAGGCTGAGCTTGGCACCAACTGCTCCACGGACTGATCCGAAGGACGAGGCCTGGATCAGGAGTCACATGTCTGAACAGCCTTGCCAGCTGGGGGCGCACTGGCTGCAGTTGCATTTGGGGGACGCCTGGCTGGTGGGCAGCGGCCTCCAGGGCGACCGCTCTTCTAAGCAGCTGATGGGAAGCTGAAGGGATCCTGGAGGAAAGTGAAAGTCCCGTGGAGACAATACAAGTGTCCAAGGGACTTCCAGTCAGGGACCCAACTGGCAGGAGGACCAGAGAGCTGAGACAGTCCTCCATGCTGTCCTCGTGCCGCCATGAGCCAGCCTGGGGACAGTCAGCCCCAGCACTGGCCACGGGCTCAGACAGAAGACACAGATCCGGCAGCCCGACTTTGCTTGATGTGGGCAAGGGGAGTGGCCCTGAGTCAGCCCAGGACTCTGGGGGGAAGGCTGCCCGGCAGCACGCACACCTGAGCTGCTGGGCACCGGGGCTGCTGGGCACCAGGGCTCAGCAGAGGTCCGAGGTGTCCTGGGCCTCCCCGACCCTGCTGGGCTCTCCTCTGCTTAGAGAAGAAAGTGGCTGCTGCCTGAGAGAGCTCATTCAGGGTAAGAATGTAGACTCAGATGGTCAAGGAGATAGGGCAGCCTTTGCCTTGGCTCCTGGGAAGTGACCACTAAGCCCTTGGAAGGTCCTGCCTGAGGGAATGTTGTTGTTCACCCGGCCTTGGGCCATGCTGGATGGTCTAGCTGACAATGTGACGTATGGCAGGGCCTTGGGCCACACTATCAGCTTGGCCCCTGGAGGGGCTGGGACTTAGGTCAGCCACATGGAGGGTCAGCTGGGTCTTTGTAACTGAGCCCTGACAAAATCTCTAGACACCAGGGCTCGTGGTACTTCCCAAGTTAGCAGTATTTCCCACGTCTCATCACACGTCGCTCTGGGAGAATTAAGAACTGTCCACATGGCCCCACAGGGAGGGGACAGCTGGAAGCTTGTGCCTGGGCCCTCTGCATCCTTTGCAGTAAGACACAGTAACGGTGCGCGTATGCACTTCAGTGGGTTCTATGAGTCCTTCTAGTGAATGACTGAACCCCAAGGGAGGTCGGGGGCCCCACGCTTTGCAGTAATTTCCTATTCAGAAGGGAAACCCTTCAAGCCTTTGTAATGGGAAGTAGAGAAAGGGAAGTTTACCAAGCTGTGTCGCCTGGTGGGATGTGCAGGTGGGACAGGGACACCGGGCTGGGCCCTCTCGAGGGCTGAGAATTTCCCAGGGCCGGGAGCCCAAGGGGCCGCTGAGTCTGAGACTTAGAACCCTCGATCAAAGACCTGACTGGAAGGAACTTCGAGGCTGAGCTCAGAATGCCCGGTCCACACACCCCACCATGGTGCACCCTGCAGCCCGTGGGCCAGGCCGCCTCCACCAGCTCCCCAGGGCCCCCTGCAAATATGGGACCCCAAGTGGGGCCTCACTTGTCTCACAGTTCCGGCCTTCGAAGCCAAGGGGGCAGAAGCAGATATAGGACTGGAGCTGGTCCTCGCAGGAACCCCCGTTCTGGCACGGACTTGAGGCACACTGGTCCCCATCTGTGGAGTGGGCTGGCGTCAGTACACTCAGGAGAAGGCTGCAGGCAGCATCGGCGGGCGATCATCTACTCACCACTGTAAGAAATCCAGAAGAGCTTCTGGGGGAACAAGAGAGGAAGCGCGTGAGCCACACCTTCACCAGGGCACCCGTCAGTGAGCACTGGACAAACCACGAGCTAGGGCTGAGGGCTTGGAGCTGGGCCTGGTGGGGTGAGCTCAGCAAGCCAGACTTTCCTCTGGAGCCCAGGGAGGTTTCTCCTCATCTCGGCCCCTCCCCAGGACATCTGGAACTACGGGTAACCACGCATTTCCTGCTCCCAAGTCAGAACAGCCGGGGTTCAGCCCTGACCTTCTGTTGCTGAGCTGTGGACCTAGGGCGAGGGACACAGGCTCTGAGCCTCAGCTCCACCTCTGACAGGGCAGCCACACGCACAGCTGACACTGGGAGAGGGTGCAATAGCAGATGCAAAATCTTCCACAAACTACGAAAGCGCTCCACAGAAAAAAGTGATTGCTGAAGAAACTTTTGGCCATCTGAACTCAAACTCACAGGGTGCTGTGAGAATATAACAGATGAGAACTGCTTTGAAAAGCAGGTGTATAAAAATGCTAGGCATGACCACCCTCCATTTACCTGGAGACGGCCATGTTAGCCTGTGTCTCAGACAGCTGGACTTCCTGTGAGTGTCAGGCTTCCTGTGAGAGTGAGGTGTCCTGTGAGAGATGACCTGTGAGTGTGATGTGATCTGTGAGTGTGAGGTGATCTGTGTGAGATGATCTGTGAGTGTGAAATCTCCTGTGAATGTGACTGTGTGAGTCTGTCTGTGTGAGGTGATCTGTGAGAGTGAGGTGTCCTGTAAGTGAGAGGTGACCTGTGAGTGTGAGGTGATCTGTGTGAGGTGACCTGTGAGTGGAGGTGATCTGTGAGTGTGAGGTGATCTGTGTGAGATGATCTGTGAGTGTGAAATCTGTCTTGTGTGAGGTGATCTGTGTGAGGTCTGTCCTGTGTGAGGTGACCTGTGAGTGTGAGGTGATCTGTGAGTGGAGGTGATCTGTGTAAAGTCTGTCTTGCGAGTGTGAGGTGATCTGTGTGAGGTGACCTGTGAGTGTGAGGTGATTTGTGTGAGGTGTCCTGTGAGTGGAGATGAACTGTGAGTGTGAGGCGATCTGTGAATGTGAAGTCTGTCCTGTGAGTGTGAGGTGATCTGTGAGTGGAGGTGATCTGTCAGTGTGAAGTCTGTCCTTTGAATGTGAAGTGATCTGTGTGAAGTGACCTGTGTGCTGTGTGACCTGTGAGGTGACTGTGTGAAGTGACCTGTGTATGTGTGCCCCGAGTGTGAGGTGACTGTGAGTGTGAAGTGACCTGTGTGAGGTGACCGTGAGTGTGAAGTCGGCCTTTTGAGTGTGAGGTCCCCTGCCAGTGTGAGGTGGAGGAAGCCCCCGGTCCGTGATCCTTGCTTCTCCCCGACATGTGCCCCGCCAAGTGCCGCGATGACGGTGTGGGCCGCCCGCCCAGCCCCGCTCCTGCCACGTGCCTCCCGTGAGCCGCGCGTCTGTGATCTCAGGGGGCTGGGGGACCTCCCTTGGGAAGTCAAGGGGGGCATCCTAAGCGTGCTTCTCAGCCCGTATTTTCTGACGCGAAAACGGTCATGTCGCGGTGTGGCCGTGTGGGGACAGCGTGTGCGGTGGGGGTGGTGGCGGGGCGTCCCGGAAACGGGGCGGTGGGGAGAGGACAGCGGAGGGGGGGGAGAGGACAACGGAGGGGGGAGAGAGGACAGCAGAGGGAGGAGGACAGCAGGGGGGGGAGGACAGCGGGGGGGGAGGACAGCAGGGGGGGGAGGACAGCGGAGGGGGAGGACAGCAGGGGGGGGAGGACAGCGGGGGGGAGGACAGCGGAGGGGGGAGGACAGCGGAGGGGGGGAGGACAGCGGAGGGGGGGAGGACAGCGGAGGGGGGAGGACAGCGGAGGGGGGAGGACAGCGAGGGGGGAGGACAGCGGGGGGGGAGGACAGCGGAGGGGGGGAGGACAGCGGAGGGGGGAGGACAGCGGAGGGGGGAGGACAGCGGAGGGGGGGAGGACAGCGGAGGGGGGGGAGGACAGCGAAGGGGGGGGGAAGGACAGCGGAGGGGGGTGGGGGGGGGAGGACAGCGGAGGGGGGAGGACAGCGGGGGGGGGGGACAGCGGGGGGGGAGGACAGCGGAGGGGGGGAGGACAGCGGAGGGGGGGAGGACAGCGGAGGGGGGAGGACAGCGGAGGGGGAGGACAGCGGAGGGGGGAGGACAGCGGAGGGTGGGGGAAGGACAGCGGAGGGGGGAGGACAGCGGAGGGGGGAGGACAGCGGAGGGGGGAGGACAGCGGAGGGGGGGAGGACAGCGGAGGGGGGAGGACAGCGGAGGGGGGAGGACAGCGGAGGGTGGGGGAAGGACAGCGGAGGGGGGGAGGACAGCGGAGGGGGGGGAGGACAGCGGAGGGGGGGAGGACAGCGGAGGGGGGAGGACAGCGGAAGGGGGGGAGGACAGCGGAGGGTGGGAGAAGGACAGCGGAGGGGGGGAGGACAGCGGAGGGGGGAGGACAGCGGAGGGGGGAGGACAGCGGAGGGGGAGGACAGCGGAGGGGGGAGGACAGCGGAGGGGGGAGGGACAGCGGAGGGGGGGAGGACAGCGGAGGGGGGAGGACAGCGGAGGGGGGAGGACAGCGGAGGGTGGGGGAAGGACAGCGGAGGGTGGGAGGACAGCGGAGGGGGGGAGGACAGCGGAGGGGGGGAGGACAGCGGAGGGGGAGGACAGCGGAGGGGGAGGACAGCGGAGGGGGAGGACAGCGGAGGGGGGAGGACAGCGGAGGGGGGAGGACAGCGGAGGGGGGAGGACAGCGGAGGGGGGAGGACAGCGGAGGGGGGGGAGGACAGCGGAGGGGGGAGGACAGCGGAGGGGGGGAGGACAGCGAAGGGTGGGGGAAGGACAGCGGAGGGGGGAGGACAGCGGAGGGGGGAGGACAGCGGAGGGGGGGAGGACAGCGGAGGGGGGAGGACAGCGGAGGGGGGGAGGACAGCGGAGGGTGGGAGAAGGACAGCGGAGGGGGAGAGGACAGCGGAGGGGGGAGGACAGCGGAGGGGGGAGGACAGCGGAGGGGGGGAGGACAGCGGAGGGGGGAGGACAGCGAAGGGTGGGGGAAGGACAGCGGAGGGGGGAGGACAGCGGAGGGGGGGAGGACAGCGGAGGGGGGAGGACAGCGGAGGGGGGGAGGACAGCGGAGGGGGAGGACAGCGGAGGGTGGGAGAAGGACAGCGGAGGGGGGGAGGACAGCGGAGGGGGGAGGACAGCGGAGGGGGGGAGGACAGCGGAGGGGGGGAGGACAGCGGAGGGGGGAGGACAGCGAAGGGTGGGGGAAGGACAGCGGAGGGGGGGAGGACAGCGGAGGGGGGGAGGACAGCGGAGGGGGGGAGGACAGCGGAGGGGGGAGGACAGCGGGGGGGGAGGACAGCGGAGGGGGGAGGACAGCGGAGGGGGGGAGGACAGCGGAGGGGGGGAGGACAGCGGAGGGGGGAGGACAGCGGAGGGTGGGGGAAGGACAGCGGAGGGGGGAGGACAGCGGAGGGTGGGGGAAGGACAGCGGAGGTCATGCGTGATGTGGCCGCGTGGGGAGAGCGTGTGCGGGGAGGGGGAGAGGACAGCGGGGTCGCCCGGGGTGGAAAGTGCCCGGCAGGGGCGTTCCCACTCGCAGAGGGAGACGCGCGCTCACGCGGCCTGGTTCTCGGCGCGCACGGCCAGCGCGGGGAACTCACCGTCCTCTCCGCGTCCCTGAAGATCTCCCGCGCCTCCTCGAAGGAGCACTGCTCCTCCTTGCACTCCCGCTCCAGGGAGCCCGGCCGGAGCTCCTCCAGGAACCCGTAGGCGCGCCGCTGCCTGCGCAGGACGCCGTGGGCCTCCTCCGGGGCGATGAAGACTGAGGAGTGGGAGCGGCGTCAAACGCTCACCTGCCCCGCCGGGGGCCGCGAGACCGCCCCCGCCCCCCGCCCCCCCGCGCCGCCCCCGCCCCCCCGCGCCGCCCCGCCCCCCCGCGCCGCCCCCGCCCCCTCCCACGCCCCGGCCCTATCCGGCCCTGCCCCCCGGGCCCGCCCTCGGCCCCGCCCAGCGCAGCGGCGGCATCCCAGGTTCGCGCCGTCCCGGGGGAGGGGAGCGGCGCGGGGCGGGGGTCTGCGCGGCGTCCTCCCTGCGGTGCTCCGGGGCGGTCACCCCACTCCCTCCTCCTTCCCGGCCTGGTCTCTGCGCTCCCAGGAGCTGATCCCGACGGCGCGCTCAGGGCCCCGCGCGGAAGCCGAGCCGAAGGGGGCCCCGGGCGCCGCTGCGGAAACGTGACGCTGGGGTTGATGCCCGGCGAGGAGAAGGCGGCGCGGCCGCGGGCACCAGGGCGCCCCCCGGGACCACGTGAGCGGCCGCCGACACCGCCTGCGGAAAGCCGAATCCCTCGTCTCCACCCGCACCGCGTCCGCGGCGGCCAGGCCTGCTGTCCCCGGGCCCCCGTCCCGGTCCGAGGCGCGGGCCCTGCCCGGCTCCCCCGCACCGAGCCCGGGCTTCCTCGCCCGCTCCGGGCGGTCCTGGGCTCCTGGGCCTTCCCCGCCTCCGCCCGCGCCCCGCGGTCCCCGGCGACCCCCGGAGCTCAGGACCCCGCGGATCCTGCTCGGGCCGGTCCTGAGGGCAGAGCGCCCCCGCGCAGCTCCCGGCCTCGCAGCAACCCTGAGGTTACTGGGAGGCACCAGGACCCCCGCCCTGCTTATGGGAACACGGGGTTGGGGAGGGCCGAGGCGGCCCCCGGAGAGGCACCCCGTCCGCTCCGCGTAGGCGGTTCCTCAGGACGCCCGCAGCCGAGGGGACCTCACGACGCCCCGCAGCCGAGGGGACCTCAGGACGCCCGCAGCCGAGGGGACCTCACGACGCCCCGCAGCCGAGGGGACCTCAGGACGCGCCGCAGCCGAGGGGACCTCACGACGCCCCGCAGCCGAGGGGACCTCAGGGACCCCCGCAGCCGAGGACCTCACGACGCCCCGCAGCCGAGGGGGACCTCACGACGCCCCGCAGCCGAGGGGACCTCACGACGCCCCGCAGCCGAGGGGACCTCACGACGCCCCGCAGCCGAGGGGACCGCCTCCCGGAGCGCAGAGACGGGGCCAGTGGTGCCTGAGCTGTGGACGCCACGCGGAGGCGGCATGAGGAGCGACCCTCCCGGGGCAGTTGCGCGGCCTGAACCCCCGCAGGCCGTGGGGGAGACGGCCGTGCGGCAGGCGGGAGAGGGAGGCCCGGGAGGAGGCGAGCGGGGTGGAGGGGACACGCGGGAGGCGCGTTCGGAGGGACGGCCAGGCCGCCCTTGCTGGGAGGACGGGCCTCAGCGGCTCTCAGGTGGCGGGTGGGCAAGAGCCCCGAGTTCTGCAGGAGCGGCCTCGGGAACGCGGAGCAGAAGTCGGTGACCCAGCGTGGAAGAAGGGACGGAAGGTGGGCGCCACCGGGCCACGTGGGGCCGACAGAAACGCCACCGCCCGTTTTAAAATCAGTTTCACACGTCGCGTCCCTGAGAACCAGTCTGGTTTGGAAGGGGAGGGCTGAGGATGCAGGCGGGGACTCCAAAGAATCGAAACTCCGGGAGGGGCGGTCCTGGACTCACAGGAGGGGCCCCAGGCAGCAGGAGGGGGGAGGGGAGCCCCCGTCACTCCAGCCTGGGGACACCCACAGCCGCGGGCTACCCACATTTCTGGGACACCCACACCCCAGGACACCCACACTTCCGGGATAGCCACACCCCTGGAGTTCGCCTGAGCACAGCCGGTGACGCCCTGGGATGGAAACATCTTTGCATCAGAAAAGCCCTCAACACTTTGGGGAGACTGAGGAGCGCGGGTGGTGAGGTCAAGAATCAAGCCCATCCTGGCCAACGTGGTGAAAACCCCGACTCTACTAAAAATAGAAAAATTTAGCCAGCCTGGTGGTGTGCATCTGTAGTCCCAGCTACTTGGGAGGTTGAGGCAGGAAAATCGCTTGAACCTGGGAGGTGGAGGTTGCAGTGAGCCAAGATCGCACTACTGCACTCCAGCCTGGGCAACAGTCTCAAAAAAAGAAAGAAAGACAACTCTCAAGAACCAAGACAAATCTGACGAACACATGATCATTGAGAAGGGACAGAACGCAAGAAAGAGAGAAAACCGCCTGCACCCCCAGCCCCGGGGGAGGCTGAGCAGGGAACGCCCTCTTCGGGGGCACCGCAGTAGCCACGCCGTGGGCCGGCTCTTTGCCGTGGGAGCGAAGGAGGTGGCGTTGGTCCCCACTGGGCCCCGGGACGGAACCAGGGTCAGCCGTGCTCGCCTCTCAGGCCCGGCTTCCGCAGCGAATCCTGTTTTCTCCTCCCGAGGCCTCAGCCGACAACAAACAAAGCACAAACACATAAGGAAACTCCGTATCCAAGACAGGACCCCCCCCCCCCC